TAACGGGTATTGAAAGCTGTTTTCCATTCGTCTCCCTGCTGAATTCTCACCAAGTTATAAGCTCCCCTCAAATCTAACTTGGTAAAAATCTTGGAGCCTTTCAGTCGATCAAAGAGCTCAGTAATTAAAGGAATAGGATAAGCATTTCTAACAGTTATCTTATTCAAGCCCCGATAATCAATGCAAGGCCGTAGAGTGCCGTCTTTTTTATCTACAAAAAAGAAACCGGCCCCGGCCGGAGAAGATGATCTCCTAATAAAACCTTTGTCTAGGTTTTCACGTATGTACTCCTCTAGGACTAAGTTTTCCTTAGTGGATAAAGGATATACCGTACCCCTCGGAGGCATAGTACCAGGTAGGAGTCTAATTTTACAGTCGAAAGACCTATGTGGAGGTAAAGTATCAGCCCTCTTTTTGTCAAAGACTGCCTTTAAATCCTGGTACTGTGATGGTATCTGTAAATCTGTAGGTTGGGAAGAGTTAACCGGGGCGTCAACCCTGCAAATTGGTGAGACTTTCTGCACACATCCTTTCTGGCAACCCTGACCCCAGGAGACTATCTCACCCAGTTCCCAGTCAATGATAGGGTTATGCTTCTTAAGCCAGGGATACCCCAAGACTATAGGAACTGAAGGAGATGAGATCAGCATGAGGGATATTCTTTCCTCGTGAAGGATACCAGTGGTTAACTTAATTGGTATGGTTTCACGAAAAATCACAGGTTCAGATAATGGTCTACCATCTATGGCCTCAACGGCCAAGGGTGTATCCCTTAGCTGAGATGGGATAGAATGGTTAGTGACAAAGGCTTGGTCAATAAAGCTTTCAGCTGCTCCGGAATCTATCAAAGCCATAGCATTAAGTACTCCCTTTTCCCAAGCTAAAGAAACAGGTATCAGAAGCCTATGATCTTTATAATCATAAATAGAGGACAAGATAGAAACACCCAAGGCCTGTCCTCTTGAGAAACTTAGGTGCGAGCGTTTCCCGGCCGGTTAGGGCAATTTAGGCGTAGGTGACCTCTAATTCCGCAATACATACAAAGACCCTCCCTTCTCCTGTACTGTCTTTCCTCCTCTGAGAGTCGAGTATTACCTATTTGCATAGGTTCTGGGAGAGCTAAAGTAGTAGAATCAGAAGTCTGAAATGAGGGAGCTAGTCTTATGGAGGATCTGCGGGTTCTATCCCGAATATTCTGCCTCTGTCTCATACGTTCATCTATTCGGGAAATAAATGAAATCAGATCCTCCAAATTTTCAGGAAGATCTCTTGTGGCCACCTCATCTAAAATCTCATCAGATAACCCGTTCATAAATACGTCCATATAAGCCTGTTCATTCCACTTGACCTCTGCCGCCAAGGATCTGAACTCCAAGGCATAATCCACTAGGGTTCGGTTATACTGTCTAAGACGTAACAGTAGTCTAGCTGCATTGGCCTTTCTTCCTGGAGGGTCAAAAGCTCTCCTAAATGCAGCGACAAAAGCATTATAATTATAAACTAACGGGTTATCATTTTCCCACAGGGGGTTAGCCCATCTAAGTGCCTTGTCAATGAGCAAGGTAATTATAAATCCAACCTTTGCCCTGTCAGTAGGGTAGGCGTGGGGTTGTAATTCAAAATGAATACCTATCTGGTTTAAAAAACCTCGACAAGTGTCAGGAGCGCCGCCATAGCGTGACGGGGACGTAACACGGGAAGAAGTAGCCACTGTGGCTACCTCTAGGCCTGTACTTATAGGAGAGATAGATGGGGTACGCATCTCCTCTGAGTGACTACTAGGACGAGATAGCAATGCTTGCAGAGCTAGAGCCATCTGGTCCATTCTATGATCCATGGCCTCAAATCTAGAATCAGGAGAACCGACCTGAGAGTTTGTACCTGCAGGATCCATTGGCCCTGTCGTAATGTCAGGATCGTGACAGGGATCCAACACGCAGAATACAAACAGGGGATAGGTACGTATACCGGACCTTAGAATGGCCGGACTAACGTAAGGAGAAAGCAAAAGAATAGTCAGAGACAAGCCGAGGTCGAGGGAACGAGAGATCAGGTAAGCGAGAGACAAGCCGAGTCAAAAGGACAAGAGAGGAAAGCAGGGTCAAAATACAAGCCGAGTCAGGAACCAAAAGACAATAGAGGTAATTGCACTGAGTGACCAGACTAGCTAGAACCACGACAGGGCAATGAATCATTCCACAGAACCCTTTTTTATACCTTGGCTCTTTAACTGTTGGCTCCGCCCCCAACGAGTCCTGATTCGTTGTTCGGCACTTGGTTGCCGTGATTGACGGGTCGGAACGTGATTGCCGTCATGACGTCGGCTACTGAGCGCCGCGTCATAAAAGGAGGCGGAGCTATCGCGGCCGGCGTGTAAACGACCGGGAGGAGTGCAAGGATCGGGTGAGTCAGCCCCCCTGGGAGGATGGACGTCTAGGTGTCTAACCTCCTCCGAGGTAGACACCAAAGGTACCCTGACAGATGCCTGCAGAACAGAGATGGAGATGGAACAGATACAGGAAGGTATTTACAGCCAGGAGGAGCAAAGGAAAGGGGGAGAGGGATAGAGTAAACATTTGTTGTATATCATTAAAAGGTTTGCCAACCAAATTCTATCACCCAAAATATTAATAACCAAGTGCATGAAAATATTGGTTCAATACATTAAATGATAATAATAAAAAAAAACCTGCATGCATAGAAAATTAATAGTGGCAAACTACAGGTATAAATGGTAACAATGCTATAGTAAGAAATGTAATATGGTAACAAAGTAAGAATAAATGAGGTGGAGTATCTTCCAAAATTCAGTCAGTACCTGGAGCTTGCTGAAAGTTGCTGGGAAATGTAAAATGGAGAGATTCAGTATTGTTGGTAGCTTGTTGGATGCCTCTCTATGCTTTGGGCAAGTCATTTGTAGACATGTGCAATTCATTTTGGTGCGAATTTAAATTCAGCTGAATTTCGGCAATTCGGATATTTGGATGCTTCCGAATGTCCGAATTGCCGAATTTCGGAAGAACCGAACTGCCAGAGTGCCAAATTTCGGAGCTGCTGAAGTGCTTTGGATTTCTGAAAAGTAGCAAAACAGGAGAGGGAGGGTAAATTAAGGGAACCCTAGCCCTAACCTTCACCCTACCACTAACCCTGCCCCCAAGGGCAGGAGGAGATGGGCCGAATGGTTCTTATCTGCCGTCACATTCTATGTTTCTAGGGTATTGCCGAAGTCCCAAATTTCGGAAGTGCCGAACTGCCGAAGTCCTGTATTGCCGAAGTCCCGAATTTCGGAATTGCTAAACCGAACCAAATCTTTTGCCCATGCACATCCTTCGTCATTTGCTCCAAGATCATTTACTTAAAACACTGAAATTAAAAAGAAAAAGAAAATCACAAAAAATTAGCACTGGAAAAAACAAAAATAAAGTCTTGTGGTTCTTAATCTTTCTGACCTTCTGACCTCTTTTTTAACTTTGAACATTTTCATCTTCTAATGTAGGTCAGTTCTTGGGTCTGTTACTTTCAGTCAGGAGGGAGCTGGTAAGTGTTGGCCTGGGTTGGGTCATTTACAAACAAGTGACCTTCTCTGCCCAAAACAGCAGCATTCATAAACTGACATATAAACAGCAGTATTCATAAACTGGCAGGTCATGTCTTAACATGTGACAGTAGCATTCAGAAACTGACATATTAACAGTGGCAGGTCATGCCAAATCATGTGACAGTAGCATTCAGAAACATGACATATTAACCGTGGCAGGACACGTCTTATCATGTAACAGTAGCATTTAGAAACTGACTTATTAGGTACAGGTCATGTCTTATCATGTGATCTTAACATTCAGAAACTGACATATTAACAGTGGAAGGTCATGCCAAATCATGTGACAGTAGCATTCAGAAACATAACATATTAACAGTGGCAGGTCACGTCTTATCATATGACAGTAACATTCAGAAAATGACATATTAACAGTGGCAGGTCACGTATTATCATGTGACAGTAACATTCACAAACTGACATATTAACAGTGGCTGGTCACGTCTAATCATGTGACAGTAGCATTCAGAAACTGACATATTAACGGTGGCAGGTCACGTCTTATCATGTAACAGTAGCATTTAGAAACTGACTTATTAGGTACAGGTCATGTCTTATCATGTGATCTTAACATTCAGAAACTGACATATTAACAGTGGCAGGTCACGTCTTATATGACAACATCATTCATAAACTGACATATTAACAATGGCAGGTCACGTCTTATCATATAATAGTAACATTCAGAAACTGACATATTAATGGTGGCAGGTCACGTCTTATCACATGACAACAACATTCAGAAACAGACATATTAACAGTGGCGGGTCACGTCTTATCATGTGACAGCAGCATGCAGAAACTGACATATTAACAGTGGCGGGTCACGTCTTATCATGTGACAGCAGCATGCAGAAGCTGACATATTAACAATGGCAGGTCACGTCTTATCATGTAATAGTAACATTCAGAAACTGACATATTAACGGTGGCAGTTCACGTCTTATCATTTGACAGCAGCATTCAGAAACTGACATATTAACAGTGGCGGGTCGCGTCTTATCAAAACTTGATGAAAGGACCAGTATATTAAAAGATAGTGTTGAGGTAACAATTCCCCTTTAATTCGGACCATTTTTATGTAATATAATCTATGATTGGAAATTAATCAACAATATTGTAAAGGAACTGAATGGAATAAAAACAGTCAATTCTTGCACAGGACTGAGTAACGCAGATTGTTTCTATATTTCCATATAAAAATCCCACTCCAGTCTAGCATAACATAACTTTATTTCCACTTACAAACCCTGTGAACTATTTCCTTTGCTGCGTGCAGTAAGCAGTTACTTAATGTGTTCCCATTTTTTCTGTAAAGGGATATTTATTCTCTCCGTTACATGAAATGTCTGACGCCTCTTTGATAAACATCCGTACAGGGGCCCTTTTGTGTGTGAGACTCATTTCAATAAATGTTGGAATGCTGGACTGGCCATTTCTGATTGGTTCACTGTGTCCGTCCAGATGTTTGTCTTCTGCATAAATGTAAGTGAATGAAGGAACAGTGAATCTGTTTTTAGCTTCACAAGCTCTGAGCAAGGCTCTGCGTAAAAATAGACGGGATGTCACAGGTTGCTCACATCGCCGTATTGTTCCTCTACTTTGGGCTCATGTACCATGAAGCTAATGGGATATTTATGCAGAAATTGTCCGAGACAAAACTTTGCGCTGATGATGAATGTGCTTGTAAGTACCCTTGTGGTTTATAATTTTGGAAATATATATACATATATAAGATCTAGTAAAAGACCCACTGGGGGTGGAAACGTTGATCAAGTAACCAGAATTTAACTTTGTTTACAAATTAAAACCAAGTAGTTACCTACAAAAGCTCTGAGAGTGCATCCTTTGTTTGTGTATATATCTTTAATGTGTGGATATATATGCCCCCCCAAAAATCTTGGCACTCAAGAACTCTGCCTGGGTGCAATACACTCAAAACCAGGTAGGCTGCACTCACCTTAACATGCATATACTGTAATGGTGCTGCTGAGACCAATTGTAACAACATGCAGAATCCAGTTTTTAAAAACACCTGACTTTGGCAAAAATAATGGGGGTGTAGTGACAGTATATGATCATACATTGCATAAGCCTGGCACAACGTCAATGTACCCCATTCTTGGCAGGTACTATTCTAGTAACCTAATACAGCCTGCTCTTATAAGATTAACCCACTTGGGGAATCCTTCCTCCTGGAACTCTCTGCAGTACAAGGTTAAATACATTTAGATCTTGCTCAGTTGGAGATCTTCTATTATGCAGTAGACATTACATATTTTCAAGTCTCTTCATAACGAACAGACTCCCGTCCGTCCACCTGTCTGCCTACCTGTTTGTTTATTATTTTTATGTCATGTCATTACAGATAACATTGTTTAGTGTTCAATACAGATATACTGAATGTTTCCCTTCATATTGTATGGTGGTTCAGAACCTTTTCTTGCTTCTGAAATAATAAATAATAATTATATAATTTCTCGGACCTGTAAAAAGGGGAATTAGGTCCATCTAGAGTTACCTTAATCCATTGGGTGGAACCCAAAACTGGCTGGCGATGCAGTATTTGTAATTTTTTGTTGATTGGAAAAAGAATATTAATCTCAATAGACTCCAAACTGATTTTATTGTAATAGTGAATATTTAGAGTCAAGTTTTTTTGAAGAATTCTAGGTAAATGTATAATTGATGACCTGACATTCTAATGTACAAATAATTATCTAACAGAAAGCAAAACACTATCTTAATCACTTTAAGAGTATAGTATTTGTGTTGTCAATGTACTTACATATGCTGTTGTGGCACCGTAAAATGTTTTTGTTACCCCATGCACAATAAAAAAAAATATATATATATATAGTAAATGTAGTGATGTACTGAGCTTAATAAATATGCATTAGATTGAAAGATGATAAAAATCATGGGTACACTTTTGTTTGCTTCAAATAGAGTAATACAATGTGGTGTAAGTGCATTTACTATTTTGCTAATGTAGTGACAAGAATAGAAAAATAAATCTCTAATAGAGCTGCTTTAAAAATAATGTAAATATATTAAATATAAAGTGAAAGGATATTCTACTTATTATACCGAATCAATCGAAACATCGTTGCCTTGGTAAGTGAGAATAAAATGCTGTATGGTTGTAAATCACTATGCCGCTATAAAGCATTAAATTAATGATATCTAGAACAGTAATCTCTAGCACGTGTTAGAAAAATAAGAAAACAAACCAGAATATTACAGTATATGGTGTAGCGTATCGACAAAGTTAATGTTGTACTGTGGGATTCCTTCTCTCGGTAAGCAGGCTCTTCAGACTCAGTAAATGTAGAGACACTTATCTGGAATATTTTATCCATTGCACTCAAAATCATTGAAGTATAAGAAATGATACTGAAATAGTTCACATTCTACAACTAAAATAGCATGCTTCTTGCTCACAATTAGAACAGAACATGAAATCACAGCTTGTGTCTTTCACTTGCTCATGCGACGATGAATGTTATTTTAAAAAAATCTTCAACTATTGTATTACAAAGACATGGTATCGATCTGTGTAGGATTTGTCCTTTTTCAAGTCTGCATATGGCCTTGTTAAAGATTAATACGATGAGCTACCATTTGTGTTGCTTTGTGATGACTTATTTATTCATATATTATAACACCTTGCTTTACAAAGGAAAATGGCAAGGTTTATTTCAACCAATAGATCCGTTAACTCAACATGCAAAATATTCTTTTTTATTCAGGATTATTCAATATTCTGGGAAAATCCAAATTATAGGACAAAATATTTTAATTGATTAAAAATGCCTCAACTCAGATATTTTCCCAGCTTGGTTAATTTGCCCTGAATTTTGCAATTCTATTGTCAACGTTGCACAATTTATAGTGCTGCCCTTTAGGAGAGAGCAAGAGCAAGAGACAGGTATGTAAGGTAGAGGTTACTCTGAGAGTCCATAAGCTTTCCTAAAGAGATGGGCTTTAAGGCACTTAAAGGATTGAAGACTATGGCAGAGTCTGATGGCGGTAGGCAGGCTATTCCATAAGAAGGGAGCCACCCATGAGAAGTCCTGCAAGCGTGAGTTGGCCGTATGCAGTGGTGTATCCTGGTTTTGTGCTGCCCTAGGCAGGACAAAACTCTGGCGCCCCCCCTCCCCCGCACTAGCCCCCCCCAAGCCTTCTAAATACACACACACACACACACATTCACTGACAGATACACATACACTCGCTAACAGAAACACACACACACTACAGACACACTCACACTCACTAATAGACACACACTCACTGAAACACACACTCACAGGCAAACACACTCACACTAACAAACACACACACATTAACAGACACACACTCACTGACACACACACACACAGACAAACACACACACACTAACAGACACACACACAGTCAGACACACACACTAACACACACACACTGACACACACACACAGGCAAACACACTCACACTAACAGACACACACACTAACAGACACACACACACACTAACAAACACACACACACACTCACTAGCAGACACACACTCACTGACACACAGTCAGACACACACATACACACTAACAGACACACACTCACTCATTAGCAGACACACACTAGCAGACACACACAGTCAAACACACACTAACAGACACACACTCACTCATTAGCAGACACACACACACACACTAACAAACACACACACACACACATTAACAGACACACTCACAGACATATACACACACTCACTCACATTAACACTTTTTTTTTTTATTTACCCCCCCCAACCTCCTTACCTTTGGGAATGCTGGGGTGGGGGTCCCTCTCTCCCTGGTGGTCCAGTGGCTGCTGGGCGGGTGGCTGGCGAGGGAGCTCTTCCTCTGAGCTGACTGCTCAGCTCCCTCGTGCGCCGCAGAGTGAAGCTGGGAGCCGGAATATGACGTCATATTCCGGCTCCCAGCCTCACTCTGCGGCGCATGAGGGAGCTGAGCAGACCGCTCAGAGGAAGAACTCCCTCGCCAGCCGCCTGCCCGACCATCAGCCAGCGCCGCCCAGCATGTCAGTTAGCCGCGAGGCTAACTAGGCATTTGCCCTGGGTATTTGGGGGGCGGCGTTTTTTGCCGCCCCCTGGAAAATGCCACCCAAGGCAAATGCCTTGTTTGCCTCGTGGCTAAAACGCCCCTGGCCGTATGGGTGCGAACAACAGACAAGAGAAGGTCACATGCAGAGCGGAGAGACCGAGAAGGGACATACCTATGGATTTGTGAGGAGATATAAGAGGGGCTAGAATTGTTCAGTGCTTTATAGGTGTGAATTAGTACCTTGAATTGACTCCTAAAGGATACAGGAAGCCAATGTAAGGACTGACAGAGGGGTGAGGTGTGAGAGAACCGATTAGAGAGGAAAATCAGTCTGGCGGCAGCATTCATTACGGACTGTAGTGGTGCAGTATGGCTTTTGGGAAGACCAATCAGGACAGGGTTACAATAATCCATACGGGAAATTACTAGAGCATGGACAAGCTCCTTGGTAGCATCTTGCATAAGAAAGGGGCGGATGCGGGCTATGTTTTTATGATTGAATCTACAGAATTTGGCAACATACTGGATGTGAGGCTCAAAGGTGAGGCCAGAATCAAGTATGACGCCAAGACAGCGTGCTTGCAATGATGGACTTATGTGAATACCACTAACTTGAAGGGAGTGGGAAAGAGGAGGATCAGTTTTAGGAGGAGGAAAGACAAGGAGCTCAGTTTTAGAGAGATTGAGTTTCAGAAAGCGGGAGGATATCCAGTCAGAGATGGAAGAAAGGCAAGCAGTGACCCGTTGCAGGACGGCAGGGGAGAGGTCTGGGGAGGAGAGATATAGCTGGGTGTCGTCAGCGTACAGGTGGTAGTGGAATCCAAATGAGGTAATAAGTTTGCCAAGAGAGGCAGTATAAAGAGAAAATAGACGGGACCAAGGACAGAGCCTTGGGGACTCCAACCGAGACAGGACAAGGGGAGGAGGTATCATTAGAAAAGGAGACACTGAACGAGCATTTGGAGAGATAAGAGGAAAACCATGAGAGGACAGAGTCACAGAGACCGAGTGATTGAAGAGTTTGAAGAAGGAGAGCATGATCAACGGTGTCAAAGGCAGCAGAGAGGTCAAGAAGAATTAGTATGGAGTAGTGGCCTTTGGATTTAGCTGTGATTAGGTCGTTAGTAACTATGATAAGCGCAGTCTCAGTAGAGGGTTGAAGAGGGTCAAGGAGAGAGTTGGAATTGAGGAAGTGAGACACACGGGTAAAGACAAGTCTTTCCAGACGCTTTGAGGAAAAAGGGAGCAAGGGTATAGGACTATAGTTAGAGGGGGAGGAAGGGTCAAGAGATGTTTTTTTTCAGGATAGGTACTACAGTGGCATGTTTAAGATCAGCAGGGACAACGCCAGAAGAGAGAGAGCAGTTGAAGATGTGCGTTGAGGAAGGCACAAGACAATTGGAGAGAGATCTGATAAGGTGATATGGGACAGGATCGAGCAGCTAAGTGGTGGGGCCAGAGGAAAGGATAAGCGCAGCCAACTCTTGTTCAGTAGCTGGGGAGAACGTCTCATGGGTAGGAAAGGCATGATCTACGTGTGGTTGAGAAAGAGAATGGCAAGGAGGGGAGAATTCTTTCCTTAGCTGTTCAGTTCTTGTCGGTAAAGTAACATGCAAAGCTTTCGGCAGTAAGGATAGTCTGGGGGGTGGCCACAGCAGGGTGAAGAGGAGAATTAAAGGTGTCAAAGAGACGCCTGGGATTGCGGGAGCATGAACTAATGAGAGAGGAAAAGTAGGACTGTTTGGTGAGGGCAAGGGCTGCGCTGTATGAAAACAATATGAATCTATAATGGAGAAAGTCTGACTGGGTGCGAGACTTCCTCCAGGAGCGTTCAGCACAATGGAAGCATCTTTGCAGGTAGCTTGTTGATTTAGTATGCCACGGTTGGGGGTGTGTCCTCCTTGAGGTGCATGTTTGGAGCAGGGCTGCAGCATTCAAGGCAGAGGTGAGGGTAGTGCTATATGTGGAGATGGCCAGTGACGGACAGGAGAGGGAAGGGATGGCAATCAGTTATGAATCAATATCAGCTGACAGCTGCTGGAGGTCAAGAGAATTAAGGTTCCTCCTGAGTTGAGGGGGGTTAGGCTGAGGTTGTTGGGTGAGGGGGTACTCGAGAGCAAACGATAAGAGGTGGTGATCAGAGAGAGGAAATGGAGTGTTGCAGATATTAGATACATAATGCATAAGAGAAAATGAGGCCAAGACAGCGCTCTTGCAATGATGGACTTATGTGAATACCACTAAAATGAGGTTGAGGGTATTGCCAGCTACTTGGGTGGGAGAATTAGCCCACTGCGATAACCCGAGGGAAGAAGTAATTAAAAGTAGTTTGGAGGCTGCTGAGGTTAAAGATGGGTTAATGTGAATATTGAAGTCCCTGATAATTAGGGATGGAATATTAGAAGAGAAGAAATAGGGTAGCCAGGCAGCAAAGTGGTCAAGGAAGAGGAGAAGAGAACCATGGGGACGATAAACAACAGGAATGTTAGAGATGGATAACATGATTTTATGCAAATGTTCCGTAAATCTCTTCCCTTGTTCTTTCAGATGCAATCTCTCTTGCCAGAGCAGAAGATGATTACAATGCTCCTGACTGCAGATTTGTAAATATTAAGAAAGGAGAACTGATTTATGTGTACTCAAAACTGGTAAAACCCCAAAAAGAAGATGGAGAGTTCTGGTTTGGAAGTGTAAGACTGCATTTCTTTACTTGTAATTTATATGTGATTAAAAGCACATTTGCTATTTTGATGCATTTTATGTTCCAGTATTTGAATTTCTCTTTGGAGAGTTATGATTCTTAGGGTTAATCCAGCCTCTAGTGGCTGTCTCATTGACAGCCGCTAGAGGCGCTTTCGCGCTTCTCACTGTGATTTTCACAGTGAGAAGACGCCAGCGTCCATAGGAAAGCATTGATAATGCTTTCCTATGGACTGGCTGAATGCGCGCACAGCTCTTGCCGCGTATGCGCATTCAGCCAGGGACGTCAGAAGAGGGAGGAGAGTCCCCAGCACCGAGGGAGCCTGGCGCTGTAAAAAAGGTAAGGGATTAACCCCTTCCTCTCCCTTCAGTGCCACAGGAGTGGGACCCTGAGTGTGGGAGCACCCTTAGGGCACTATAGTGCCAGGAAAACGAGTATGTTTTCCTGGCACTATAGTGGTCCTTTAAGTCTGGCCATTCCAAGGCCCGGTAAGATGTTACCTTTAGTTCTAGAGTGTGATACTATTCTGCGTGCTGGATCAATATAATCCTGACACATGTTTTAAACAGGAAATCTGTATGACTTTGAGCGGGTAATTTATCCATTGAATATGCTTAAAAGTATTAAAATGGACGTGACACCTTCAATACCATTCTAACTGTCTAGATGTCTACCATATTTACAAGCTGACTTTTTCTACACAGAATTTGAATGAAACTCATTTAACTTTATTGTAAATGTAATTTTGTTATCGGCAAGTTTTGATTATTATTGTAATTATTCTCTCCCCAAAAACAATAATTTTAGTAAAAGTGCTTTAACTGGAAACTAGCATCCCTCATCTTGGGCCCCATTATATGTAGCGTGTAAATCATGGCAGGTGTACTTTATGGAGTGCTTAATGTTGTCATTTTAATGTCAAAGTTCACCGATATATTTACAACTAATCTATCAATTCAACCATCAAATCGTGATGTAAACAGGCATTTGAAAACATACAGAATCATTTCTGGAACCAAAAACACAACTGGTGGAAGATTTCTAGCTGGAAAGCATTTGTTAACAAAAAGCTGGTACCTAGATATCTGAAACCTCATATCCTACTCCAAATAAAATTACTAAAGAGGAATGCATGAGGAAGCCGAATGGTATGCTCCCTGATATTCATTAAGACTTCTAGAGTACATCTGCAGGAAAAAAGAATCTATTATACATGTATTCCAATGTTAAAGAAGAGTTACAGGTTATCAAAACATTTAAAGAAGATGAACTCTAGTGAATGTGTTGAATAGAAATATTGAAACAATTTATATAATACTAAAAGAAGGACATACAGCAAATTTAAAAGAGAGACTTCAGACTACAAAGAAACAAATCCATTCCGATTTGATTCAGAAATTCCAAGCAGATCGGTTACAGGCAGGAAATTTAGTTTGGCAGCGTACAATATAAAGGATTTGATCCAAAATGAAAAACATCTTTGGAAAGAGAAATATTTCTCTTTTTTTATTTCTTTGTGGATAATTGTCTATATTTTGTTACTACTATCAAAACCACAGTAAAAATAATTGGAGAACCTCAATTACTCCAAAATGTGATGTCTAGAGTGTAAGTGTCTTATCCCGAATAAGGTGATATACACTACCCAGAGCTATTTACTAAAATACGAATTATTGGGATATCAAAGAGAATTCAAAATGAATATCAAATTAAGGGTCGATATAGCCAAACTGAAAAATTAACAATTAACTTCCACTTCAGCAAAGTTTGCCTTAAATTAAAAATTCACTTTGAATTGCAGTAAATATCCCTGTATAGACTTCATACATTGCATTATTGCTTAGGAAAATGTCCTTATGGTTTATTTAATTGTATTTTATACACATTGGATGCACAGAATGTAAGAGTGCTGGTTACTACGTTTTGGCTGTGTGCAAAGGCGTTTCAAAGGTTTGGGCGAGACTACAGTTCAAGGATACCCAACAGGTAGATCCATAAATGTTGTAGAACTACAACTCCCATGGTGCTTTGCATGCTTTTACAATGCCTTTAAAAGGACAAAGCATCATGAAAGCTGTAGTTTTAAAACATCTGGGGGGGATCAACCTTTTGGGTACCACTGCTATAGAATATCCTACCTGCTGCAAATTATTTTCTTTATCGTCTTGTTTGTTTTGAAAACTCGTTTTGTACTTTAATAATAAATGTTGACCTGCGGATGCATTATAAAATGTGCATGTCTCATCACTCCTTAATGTTCCTAATTCGGGTCAACTTATAAAACATGCACAACGATACAAACAGAAGGAAAAGAAAATCAGCTGGGGGAAAAGATGCAAATGTGTTTGTTGCTTACCCCCTCGATCTCAACCCTGTTTATAGATTTAATACGTTTTATTTAAAATCGGAAATTCTTGCGAAGATAGAAATTGAAACATCCCTTCTCCAGTTCTCTTAAGTTACTTCTGAAGCTTTCTGTGAATGGATGTGGAAACCATGTTGAGCTGAAGAGAGGCGATGCAACATAATGACATTACACCGGAAGGCAAATGGAAAGGAATGTTCATTTATTATCTTCAGGACTGGATCTAAACCTCTTTACCGCTGTATTTCTGGCTTGGCACTGCAGCTGTAATTTTAAGGGATTTAATAACAAACAATGGGTTAAAAAACAGCTAAAGTGTAAACTTGGATTGTCACAATAGAAAACTTTTTTTTTTAATTTTCAATTAATATTTCAGACGTGTTCCTGTCTTGTATATTTTTAGCTAATGCTTCTGTTTTTCAGGCCTTGGCACTCTTGTCATCATAAATATTTCCTTCTCCTCCTTACCCTTCGGTCTCTTACTTTTTCTTAATCTTCTCCATTCTTTATTTCTTAGAATTTATAGATGGTAAGGGACAAAAGGAAACTGAAGGGTTTAACTTAATTATTCATATTCTATTAGACTCCCCAATCCTTACCGCCCAACTCCCCCCAACCCTAATTCTTAAATCCTATTAAAAATTCTTGTTCATTAATCTTTCTTTCCCTGTCTATCTTTGGAGAGAGAGAGAGCACACCTTATGCCTAATGTAATACAGTTAATTTTGCAATTCTGTTTATCTGCCCATTTTTAGGGATCAAATTCTTTTTTCCTCTCCTTTTTCCTCCCCTCTTCTTCCCTGTCATCTCCCATCTCTGTGACATTAAGTAAGCTTTTTCACTCGTTAAGTGTTAAGCGAAGAGTACAGGAGAGAGGCGAATAGTGGTGTTATTTCTTGCCTTGATTTGTTGTTGTTATTTAACCCCCACCCCCACCACCACAAAAAAAAGGAGGAGGAGAGGAAAAAGGGAAGAGAAAAGACACACACAAAAAAAAGGCCAGCAAAGAGAGAGTACACAAGAGATAATTGTTAAGTAATAGTTTCCATAGTATTTATCCATGTGTCCCAGTCTTCTATTTGAGTGCATCTATTTCCTACGTTCACCAATATACCCCTTTCCATTTTTGCCTGCCATATGACTTGTGTTATTGATTCTTGAATGCATGGGATTTTCCCTGTTTTCCAATTTCGTGCTAGAAGTAGTTGTAATAGTGCAATTTGAACGTTACTGGGCAAAACAATTATCTACCAACAGTTTAAAAAAAATAATAAGTTCCAGCAGCTAGCAGTGTACCAGCTGTAGACTTGAATTTGAGTATCTGTCACTCGGTACTTCACAAAAAGGAAAGGAAAGGAAAGACATCTTCTCCATCTTGTCTATCCAGAAACCTTTCTCTAGATGAGGGGACTGGAGGTCCATGCCATCCAACTGTGATGAACCTAGACACACAAGACGCATTTCAGCCTGATTGAACTGTGAGTTGATAAGAGAACCGCCTGATCATGAACCCATCAGAGAGAAGTATTTAGCATTGAAAATTAAAACAGATATGAGATCTTAAAGAGTCACACCATATGATTTCTTGTAGAGCATACCTGAGCTGAACACTGAGTTTATACTTTGGAATCATTAGATCTATTTAACCATTCAGATTCCAATGGAGGTAACTAATCATTGAAATGATACTCAAGGACAGTGGCGTACACATAAACCACGGGGCCCTGGTGTGAAAATGATCCGTGAGCCCCCCCGCCTCCCTATTCCACCCACGACAGACACACACACACACACACATATAGACACATACACTCACACATACATACAAAGACATACATACAAACAGGCAGACACACACAGACAGACACACATACAGACAGACAGGCACACACACACACACACAAAATGTTTAAGTCACCCTCCTGTTTCCTCCCACGCGGCTCTCAGTGTTAGCTGGGAGGAGTGACGTGCTGGGGGCCCGGTAGCGCTGTTAAAGCACCCAGCTTTATCCATCAGGTGGCCCTGACAGCATGTGCCACACGATGGACCACTTGGACGGCGGCCCTGGCGGTTTACTGCACGGGCCGGGGCCGCAGAAGATGATGGCGATGGATACCCGGTGACAGGGGTCTGCAGGGCAGCCGGGCCCCCTGGAGTGGCGGGCCCGGTCGCTGCAGCGACCCCTGCGACCGCGGTATGTACGACGCTGCTCAAGGAGTTAAAAACAAAATCTAGCCTTGCATTCGTAAAACTCTTACATAGTGCCATAAGGTTTGTTTTAGACTTTAACAAGAGATAAAATGTTGTGAAGTAACAGCTAAACAAAAATAAGGAAACAAACAAAATATCACTGCTTGATTGATGATCTTGAAGCCAAACTTCTCTGTAGGTCTGAGTTACCATTCACTGGTAACACATGCAGTCCATCTGTTAGCTTAGCTGAGCGATTTGAACGGTATGCATGGCTATTCAGCTGGAAGAACATTGAATTAAAATGATGGCTTAGCAGAAGTGACAGCTGTTTTGTTGGATACAGGTATGGACTTGTTTGAACTTTAGGTAAAAGGCTCTTAACATTCTGTTATGAATTTCTCTAACAGGTTTATAGTGACCAATACAGGGATCCGATTGGATTTATCGGGTATTTTCCTAGCAACCTAGCCACAGAGATACATGTCTTCAAGAATGCAACATTAGAGCTGCATACAACAGTAAGTTTAACATAATGAATAATGGCAAGTGTTTCAAAATATAACATACTGTGAATATCATATTCCATATATAACGCCAGCTGATATTAAAATATAGCCCCCATGACGCAAATGGAAATGTATTCCCAAAGTTGATGGTTAAGCGAAAGGATGGTGAGGCTTCAAAATTAGCATTGTTTACTAATAGTGATGTCCCGAACGATTCGCCGCGGACTCCATTCAGCAGACACATTCCAGCCAATCAGCAGCAGACCCTCCCTCCCAGACCCTCCCACCTCCTGGACAGCTCACTAAGAATGCAGCTTCAAAATGGATGCTCTCCAAGAGGTGGGAGGGTATGGGAGGGAGGGTCTGCTGCTGATTGGCTGGAATGTGTCGGCTGACTGGAGTCCGCGGCGAACCGTTCGTGGCGAACCGTGGCGAATCGTTCGGCGAACCGTTCGGCGAACCGTTCGGGACATCACTATTTACTAAACTAATAACTGAACACACCAATCATTTCTCAAAACAGTCATTCACCACAACCAACTGGAACATCTTTTCCCAAAAATAGCTGTTGTGTAGTTCAAATGAAAAAAGTAGTGAAATTAAACTTAAAAGGACATGCACTCTAAGACAGTGGTTCCCAACCCAGTCCTCAAGTACCTTCTAATAGTCCAGGATTTAGGGATTACCCAGTTTTGTCTAAGGTGTTTTTAGAAAAATAAAAAATAAACACTTTAGACACAATAGGGTAATCCCTAAATCCTGGACAGTTAGGGGGTACTTGAGGACTGGGTTGGGAACCACTGCTCTAAGACAACTATCTAACTCAAAAGGTGCAGGCTGAAGAAAGCAGGTATATATGATATTTTTCATTTAAAACACTATCTAAAATCAAATATATAAAACTGTAACTGAAAAACAAAAAGGGGGAGTGGAGCAGTGATGGATAGCAGAACAAAAAGAGACTAAGAAGGCATCACTCCTGAGAACAGAGGATTTCCTCTAAACCCCTAAAGATAGCTAGAGAAGACAACAATAAAAAAGTCAGGTTGAGCCAATAGATGCTGAAACACTTATTAATATAAGGGGAATATAAATAAATAACCCTTGCAAGATACTATTATAGCAACAAAGTAAAAATACAACACAAAGTATGTACAAAAAGCCCCAAAAATGGAAAGAATAAAATACCAGAATATTGAAAAAAACAGTCCTAAATTGACAATCCTTCTTCTGGTTGTTGTCCAGTATTTTTGGAATGGTTTTTCTTATTTGCAGCGTGTGAAAGAAAGCAAAAACAGGAGAATCCAATAGTGCAATGTGATTGTAAGATCTGTGACATACAACATATAAGTCTAAAAAATGACAACTCACATATAATGGAGCTGTAACCACCTCTGGATAAAACAGCATGTAGTGGTTTTCTTATCCACACTTGTAGGATATCCCTCTGGTGGTAGTTTACAATAGGGTAGCAGGAAAGTAGACCATATGAAAATAAAAAAGAGAAGCCAATAGGGCTCTCTACCCAAGAGAGTATAACTAGTAAAATAGAGATATACTCACATTTGAAAGAGCAGTCAAACCGCTCTTTGTATCAGTACAATCCCCACCTAGGATTCTTTGAAAGAATAGTCCTATAGATATCTCAGGTAGTAGGCCAAAAAAATAAAAAAAAACTCAGGTCTGTACTTTCTATGCAACCTCTCCTCCAGACAGCCTCTAAAGGTGCTTCCTTTACCTGTGTTGAGATCATCAAGTGTGATGATGTCAGCCAAGGAGGCGGATTGGGGGCAGGGTTAGCGCTTGCGAACCCGCACAGCACTGGAATAAAGGTGAGTAAAATACATTTTTAAGGAAAACAAATGGGGAGCAGCGACCTAAATAGTTTGTTTAAAACTAAAAGGTCAGGAATACACATTTGTGTTCCTGACCTTTCATGCTCCTTTAACTCTGCTCAGTTGAAGATTAGTAATAGAGTGAATGTGGTGAGTAAATTAAGGGTTTTATGTAGATTTTATTTTACATTGCTTTGAAATGGAGAAAAATGCAGGCAATATCTTAAAAAGCAAAGTGTGCTCTTGCCTTGGGCTCAATATGACTATGTATTCTGAAATTAAAATAAGTAAAAACTGTTGAATAAATTGAATGCCTATCACATGGAAAAAAATATGCTTCAATCTAAATCGCACCAGTACAAACCAGAAGCCAATTTAACTGTCTTGTTTAAAATTTCTCTTGAAAGGGCTATAATACTTTAATTCCATTTGTAAAAGTTTTCATCTTTTGAATAAATCTTTCTGGTTCCAAATATTGAATTTCGCCTGCCTCTTCACGGGTGTTAACTAATACTCAAAACAGATCTCAACTTTATAAAAATAATTTGTATGTTTAAATAATGCCAACACTTAATCAGAAAACATAGGTTAAGTGCACAACCTAACAAATTAGCACTTTTTAATTTGAATAAATTAGAACACGCAGGCAAAATGCTTGCATCCCCTCCCCCACAAAATATGTATGTAGAGCAGTTCTGAGATTGTGTGCCCAATAAGCATATTTGTTGATGTGCTTGGCTTTGTACATTTTTACAGGACTGCAGTCCCAAATCAGGACTGTTCTGTCGAATCCAGGTTGTTGGGAGGTATGCATGCATTCCATTCCTATGTACTGCTAAATCTAAATTATGTTATTTATGGTATGATAGATATTACATTTTAAATTCTTGATTTTAGTGTCAAATTATCAAACAGATTAAATGCAATGAAAATGAGCATTGTTTACTGAAAGATGTGTTAGTGCACATGTGGATCTCAAGAAGTCCTACACAGAATTATTTATGTTTCCGAAATGATGTCTAGACACTTGGATCATCGAAAAACGAATGCTTTCCTCTAACACTTCCTTACATAATTTTTTACCCACCTTGAGGACTTTGTTATATAAATATACATTTTAAGCTTTTTCAGTGGAATCCCAAATTCTGTTTGTAAATGAAAAAAGCACTTACAAAGACCTTCTTTTAACCCATTAAGGACCAAACTTCTGGAATAAAAGGGAATCATGACGTGTCACACATGTCACGTGTCCTTAAGGGGTTAAAGGACCACTATAGTGCCAGGAAAACATACTCTTTTTCCTGGCACTATAGTGCCATGAGGATGCCCCCACCCTCAGGGTCCCCCTCCCGTCGGGCTTTAGGGGGAGGAAGGGATTAAACTTACTTCTTTCTCCAGCGCCTGGTGCTGCATTCAGCCAGTCACATAGGAAAGCATTCACAATGCTTTCCTATGGACGCTGGCGTCTTCTCACTGTGAAAATCACAGTGAGAAGCACGCAAGCGCCTCTAGCGGCTGTCAATGAGACAGCCACTAGAGGCTGGATGAACCCTAATATAAACATAGCAGTTTCTCTGAAAATGCTATGTTTATAGAAGAAAGGGTTAACCCTAGCTGGACCTGGCACCCAGACCACTTCATTAAGCTGAAGTGGTCTGGGTGCCTATAGTGGTCCATTAAGACGAGACTAACCCATCATTTTCTGTTTGTGTATGGACATATATAAGTGGCTTTTAATATCTACTGATTTTAAAGTCCACATATTTTTATTAGCATTGACTTCTGCTGTATAACGGGTTCTGGGTATCACCATCCCATTTAACCCTGTAGTATCACTATCTATTTTAGCACCTCTGTGCCTAAGTGTCCAGAGCAAATTATCAAATTGCTATTTGATTAATCATAACTAGATTACTTTGCTAATTACCTAGTAAAGAAAGTGAATTCACTTATTTGCTCTGATTTACAGAGTACATCACAAGTCTAAGATATCAATCTATTTCAATAATTACAGGTCTCGAATTACTGTTTTAAAGCATAAAGTGTTACACAGACCACCTCTTTGAGATATGTAAAATAAAAAATAATATTACTGGTAACCAGCGCCAAGCGAGGGTCTTAACACCCCATCCAACATCACACCACATCACTTCTCTCCATGGTCCAATCAAATACTTCTCAAATAGAAGCTTAACTGATATTCAGGAGAGGGGAGGGAGTTTCAAACAGAAACACTGCAGTTACAGATTCCTACCACCATAACCACTTCCAAGGCATGGTGGTTGGAGTAAACCTTTAAAGTGTTCAAAATGTAGTGTGTTTGGCCTCCAGGATTAATGGTGGTAAAAAAAAAAAAAAACCTGTTATACAGAAGTGTATAATTTTGTAAAAGAGATACAGTAGACATATTAAGTAACCGTGAGCACCTAGCTTTTCTCATCAGTTAGCCTGGGGAAAGACCAGCAGGGGAGATGGGGACGGAGAGAGATACACTATTAAGAAAGAGGGGGTGATGCTAGAAAACCTCAAGTGGAGAAAAATCAGAAGAGATCCACAAGCAGGGTGGTATAGGCAGAAAAGAGGGAGGTGGTAAGAGTAAGATACACCAGTTGGGAAGAGCCACAGTAGTACGACTTGAGTAGGACATTCTGTATAAACACATCTCTACATTCAGTGACTCTTTACACAAATAAACACACACTGGCACTGACGCTAAAATATCCTCTTATGCACGTCAGAGGTTTATGGGATATGCTTAGCATTCCCCCTGAAACGTATAAGGCAGCGAGGTTTGTCTGACATATCTCAGTTACTTTTTATCTTGGGCAGAGCAGTCGAGGAAGCTGTATTTGTGATTTGAAAGACAAGCATCTTTTTATTTACTTTTTCAGCTTATTTTGTCACATTTCTTTCATAATGACTTAATAAAAACCAATGCTTAGGGCTGCAGTGTCCTTAATGGTGGGATGATGCATCAAAAGAAAGTGGGTTATGATCTTGTTTTTTTTGGGGGGGACTTGAAACATGAATATAATATATTCCCTCTACGTGATACTCCCTAGTATAGAGTAATCTGGAGATGCTTTATGTTCACTCAATAGGTGATATGATTAAATGCATCTGTATGTAAATGACTTTCATTCTGCAGGAGATCGCGTCTGTGGCTGATTAGACCTTTCTACAGGGTAGTTAACATTACTATGTAGATGAGAAAATCTGCTAGTTTACTGAACTGGATGGAAATATTTATCTGATTGGCAGGCTGGTGCATTAATTATTCTACAAATTTGCACTGAATATATATATATATAGATCTGAATAAAATACATGAATTCCTATGGCATATTCAAGGCTGCGGAATATGTTGGCACTTTATAAATGCCAGTAATAAAAAAATATGGCTATTTTTTGGGGGGGGTTCTTATGTAAAGAGAAGAGGGTCTGATTATTTACAACATATTGGGCCAGATTTATTAGAGCGAAAACGGGTGTTATTCTGGGGTCAAATTCTTAATAAGGATAAATCACAAAACAAACAGAATGCAACATTTATCACGTCACCACAGAATGGCACCTGTTTTTGCCTTGATACCTATGGTCTATTCTGTTGTAAGATATACAAAATAACAGATGGGTGAGCGGGGTTAAATATCTTTTATGCAACATAGGATCTGTATGGGGATCAAAGCAGTCAATAGAATTGGAAATTTGGTTTGGTCTGAATTTAGGCACAATTTCCAAACTCCGAGTCAAAATGTAGCCGAATCACAGACCATCCACAATGTGCAGTTTGTGATTCTGAATACCTCACATGGCACCAAAAAAAAGATACAATTGATGGGAAAAAAAGATGATCGATGACTCGGGCACAGGCATTAAATCTTGATTTCATTCACAGATTAAGTGAGAATTGAGCGCTAGAGGAAAAAAAAGTAAGCAGAAAAAAAACTATATTTATATTTTTGATACATTTACAAAATATAAATAGTGTTTTTTTTACTGCTCCCCGTTTTCCCCTCTTAGGGTTATTTTTTTCTGACTATATCTGTGAACCAAAATGCTCTTATAAGTATACTGATAAATATATACATAATATTTATAATATTTCTTTTATGAATCTATTTTGCAGCATACTATAAGACCCATCTTGCTACCTTTTTTTCTCACTATAAGACCCATTTTCACACCTTTTTTTCTGCTTAAAAAACAAACTCTGAGTAAACACATGAACTAATTCTGAACATTGGAAACGGTCAGTGGACAGTTGCTTTGGGATTAGGGGCTAACTAATTCCCTGCTGGTGGCATTAGTAACCAGAGGGCAAATAGTTAAAATCTGTGACTATGACACCCGTTTAGTATAAGGGAGGTTTCTTAGCTCCCTCATGGCCCAGACCGCAAGGTGATCACTGCCTTCCCTACATGACTCCACAGTGGGGCTAATAATTAAATAAATAAACAAGAGGCATAGTGCTCCCCCTCATGTACCCACCCTTGGCCAGTGTGTGGTGCTATCTTTAAAATGTACTGGAGAAACTGTGTTCTATTTAATAAACAGTAGGCCACGATTGGGGGCTTTAATATTTATTTTAACTTTTTTAAATGCCTTAGGCCCTCCTTCCAAACATTTTATTTACCTGGAGTCCAGTGACAGGTTAAGCTCCCGATACTGCTTTCTTTCCCTCCTGATGTGTGGTCCAATCAAAGGCTTCTCATACAGAAGCCTTTGATTGGGTCGTTTAGCTGGCTAAGAGCGATTGCACATACTTCGAGCTGGCAGGAGGAGAGGGAGACTAGAAACAAACTGTACAGAGGAAATAGGCAGGTGGGAGGGCTCCAGCGAGGGGAGATATAAGATAAGCAGATTGTGCTTGTTGCCACCTGGCAGTGCACACTGATAACATACATACAATATGCACAGAATTGACAGTGTTCCAGGCTGCCAAAGTCAAATGTGCCAGAGATGTAACTAGCCCCCAGTACACTAGTGCAAATAACTCAGATACACTGCGCAGCCAGATACCTTCCCCCCCCAATGATCACGCCATAAAGCAGAACTTGTCATGGATGTTGGAGTAATCCTTTAAGTTCCCCTCCTAGTGGCTAGGGTTCCCCAAGACCCTAGCTATCCCAATTAAAAATACTTACTTACCCACCCTAATGACAGTGAGGGAAGGCCCAATAAGTCTAAATACATTTGTAATACAGTAAGTCTAAATACTTTTTATTGGAATCTGTTGGTTTTACAAAACTTGCAGTGGCGTACATACCAGGGTCGCAGGGGTCGCGGCTGCGACTGGGCCCGGCCCACCAGGGGGCCCGGCCGCCCCTGCGACCCGGTGTGTACCCACTGGGCCAGCCTCTTCCCCTGGGGGGCCCAGGAGCCGACCACCCCAGGGCCCCCCTGGGGCTGGCCCTGCTGACCCCGGGTGGCCGGTCGGGCAGGCAGGCAGGCGGGCGCGCAAGGGAGCACTCAGTGCTTCCTCTTCAACTCCCTCGCGCACCGCACTGATACCGGAGCCGGAAGATGACGTCATCTTCCGGCGCCGGCATCCCTACGCGGCGCGCGAGGGAGCTGAAGAGGAAGCAGTGAGTGCTCCCTCGCGCGCCCGCCTTCCTGCCCGACCGGCCACCCGACCAGGAGCCCAGCAGCATCACTGGACCCCAGGGAATCCCCCCAGCACTCCAAAAGGTAAGGAGGCTGGGGGATTACATTAAAAAACATGTGTGAGTGTTAGTGTGTGCGTGTTAGTGTGTGTGTGTGAGTGTTAGAGTGAGTGTTAGTGTGAGTATGAGTGTTAGTGTGTGTGTGTGAGTGTTAGAGTGAGTGTTAGTGTGAGTGTTAGAGTGAGTGTGAGTGTGTGTGTGTGAGTGTAGAGTGAGTGTTAGAGTGAGTGTTAGTGTGAGTGTTGTTAGAGTGTGTGTCTGCTAGTGAGTGTTAGTGTGTGTGAGTGTTAGTGTGAGTGTTAGAGTGAGTGTTAGTGTGTGTGTGTGAGTGTTAGAGTGAGTGTTGTGTGAGTGTTAGAGTGAGTGTTAGAGTGAGTGTTAGAGTGAGTGTTAGTGTGTGTGTGTGAGTGTTAGAGTGAGTGTGAGTGTTGGAGTGAGTGTTAGTGTGTGTGTGAGTGTTAGAGTGAGTGTTAGAGTGAGTGTGAGTGTTAGAGTGAGTGTTAAAGTGAGTGTGAGTGTTAGAGTGTGTCTGCTAGTGAGTGTTAGTGTGTGTGTTAGAGTGAGTGTGAGTGTTAGTGTGTGTGTCTGCTAGTGAGTGTTAGTGTGTGTGAGTGTTAGAGTGAGTGTGAGTGTTAGTGTGTGTGTCTGCTAGTGAGTGTTACTGTGTGTGTCTTACTGAGTGTGTGTGTGTTAGTGAGTCTGTTTGATGTCTGTTAGTGAGTGTGTGTTTGTCAATGAGAGTGTATGTTTTGTAAGTGAATGTGTATGTATGTCTGTCACTAAGTGTGTTTCTGTCAGTAAATGTGTGTGTCTGTTAGCTCGTGTGTATGCGTCTGTAAGTGAGTGTGTGTGTGTCTTCAGCACTTACCTTTCTCCAGCGCCGGACTCCCTTGGCGCTGGGGATCCCTCAGCCTCTCAGCTCCGAATGCGACCACGCACGCATTCAAACCGCCCATAGGAAAGCATTACTCAATGCTTTCCTATGGACGTTCAGTGTGCTCCTCTAGCGGCTGTCAGTGAGACAGCCACTAGAGGCTGGATTAACCCTCAGTGAAACATAGCAGTTTCTCTGAAACTGCTATGTTTTCAGCTGCAGGGTTAAAACTAGAGGGACCTGACACCCAGACAACTTCATTGAGCTGATGTGATCTGGGTGTCTGTAGTGGTACATACCGCGGTCGCAGGGGTCGCAGCCCTGTAACCCCTGCGACCAGGTCCCCACCGCCACGTGTTGCGGCCCGGCCCCCGTGCGCGGGGGGGCCCACGGATCAATTTTCGCACCGGGGCCCCATGGGTCATGTGTACGCCACTGAAAACTTGTTATTAATAAACTTATAGTTCCTTAGTATCATCCTCTAACATTTTATGTCTGTTGTTATTTATTTTTCTACAATAATAAATGCATTGTTTCCACCATCATGTACATTGTACCATCCTGTACCTTGCCAATAACATTCGGTTGAATTTCTCTCATAGGCCATTGATTTCTACTGTGACTGATACAACAGCGGAAATAAAGTGACTACGAGAATGAAGACACGCAGGCGATACTTTTCATGGCTTTTATAAGACGTTCAAACTGCACATGTGGTGAAAGATTATAAATTCTTTCCTCAATTTTTGTCACTGCTAAAGAATTCATACCATTTCTTGCATTCTAAGCCCAGCTTGCCAACATCTAGAGGAATGAAAAATAGTAAAATGGTTATAGCAGCCTATACTATTGTATTCGTTTCTACTGTAACAGATCATTTTAACTCTGCACACATTGTTGATATTATAAAGAAAATGTAGCAAAATAAATTAATTATAAATGTACCATTAATGCAGGTAACAAGTAAGTCATTCTAGTGCAAGGTAAACCTTGTACGACCATTAACATATACAGAAAATTAATTAGTATTGAATTTCTAGAATTATCAAGAGGCAAGACATTGACCCTATCTATTTCTTTTTATTATTTATCGTTAAAAAAAAACCTTCTTTGTTTCCTAAACTAGTGCAGATAATCAATTTGCAATCTGGGCATACACACGCGACGTTATAGAACTATTATGTTAACATTACATATTCATAAGACACAATGATTTATTATAAGTTCATAAAGGGCTAAAAACAGTAGGGTGTTGTGAGGGTGTTGAAAGCTGATTTGCAAAATCTTGGCTAAAATCTCACAGTCTTCCCTTTTGCGACACTCAGTGTGTGTGAGTGTGTTTTTTTTTTCTTTGTCGTTTTTGGGGACACATCAGCGTTCTAATATTGTGTCTTTATGGGAATACTGTGCATGCATCATTATATGAAGAAACAGAGATTGCATAATAAATGTACAGATATTTAATGTTATATTAATAATAAGTGTTTGTATGAACAGTCAGTTTTTTTCGGTGAATGTAATTATCTGAAGGTTAGATAGACTGCGTGGCTGTGTTATTGGACACATACCTGCTGACATACATGTGAAAGGGGACCGACCTCACACAACTTATCCTCATTAGAATGAGCATAAAATTCTATCTATACATCGTGCTAGCGGTTGTGCCAGTAAATGTATAGATTAGGACAAAAACACTATTTTTAAAATTGGGTTTTCTCACAGGTGTTAGTCAATGCCTTGCCGTTAGAATTTAGCAGGTGGCAATTTAGCAAGCTGAAGTGCTTTAAGAGTGTGTCATGTTTCTTTAAATGGTGTTGCGGCTTCTATAGTTCCCTGTGGAATGCTTTCTTCACTAAATAGCATTGAAGCAGAGTTACGCTCTGGTATATCTTTTCTGTGGCGTCAATTTAAAACCCTATGTTGCTTAGTAAATTAAAGTGATACAGAGGACGTGATAAGTTTAAATCCCGAGTTTGGCTTTGAGGTTACTTTACCAAAGCCTTAGAGAATCTGAGATAATATTTTTCTTGGCTTAGTTTAACCTCTAGTGACTACATCTCTTAGTTTTGACCAAGTCACAGAAAATTCAGAATATGTTGGCTCCACTCTGTACAACATCTCGAACAATTCTTTATGTCTTTCACATACACACAAACCACCTACAACGAATTACTAATTAAGGTGTCTAATTCAAGCAAATGTATTAGAAAGATATATTCATGTTGTGTGTACAGCTCATGTTAGAGGCTGTATTCTTGAACAAATTACATGTTTTACAGAGTCTGATTAATGATAACCACAGAGTAAGATAGCAGGATGTCTTATTTATTTAATTTAATAAATATATCTCCTTGACAAGATGGATCATTCAACAAACAGCAATATGCCACCTTCTGTTGCAGGCTCTCTCTTAAGAATGACTATGTCTACATTCATTTTACATATAGACAGACTGCAATATTCATAGGAAGGATAAAATAGGGGAAATCTGCCATGCTGAAATATGACAATAATAACAAGTAATTTTAAGGCTGCCACAAAGTTATTTCCATTTTTGAATTTGCCTTAGGCAAGTCATTTCATGAAGAAAAAAAAAGGCAAAAAATTTCCCAGTACATAAAATATGAACTTGTAGCCGGATTTAACCGTTTTATGCTTACAATGTATTTTGTTGCATAATTTATTATGCGTTTGATTTTTAGTGAATGCATCCAGTTACTGTATATTTAAACTCTGGGATATGTTTGCCTTTTATTTATTTCACATGACTTATACTGTGCTGCATGCCAGGAAATGCCAGGTAATGCCCTCTACTATGGGCGTCCGCAGGAATTTTTCCGGGCGGGGGGGGAGGGGGCATATTTGTAATGACATCCATGTTTGGCACCTTTTTGACAGTGTCATGAAGGGGAGGAGCATAGCCATTATCACATAAAGCCAGGGTGAAAAGTGTTTTCACAACTATGGTGTCAGGAATACATGTTTGTTTTCCTGACACTATAGTGTTCCTTTAATAAAATGAAAGGAACATTCTGGTCACCATAACAACTTCATCTAAATGAAAATGCTATGACGCAAGGAGGCCCCTGGGTGCTCTCTTTTCTTTAAGGGGTTAAACCGCTCTCAAATTGTTTAATCCCAAAGGCTTCCTCCAGCTCCAGATCTCCAGGTCGCTCAGTGGTATTCTGCTTCTGAAAAGGAGTGTCAGGAAGTGCAGATTGATGTCAGGCATGGGTGCCGCCGATTGGCTAGAGTGGTCAGCTGACGCTGTAAGTCAATCGCTAGTTCCCGATTCATAATTTTTTTTACATTTTATGAATGGGGAGCTACTGATTGGCTCAGAGAGCCAGCTGAACAGTGTAGCCAATCAGCGGCACCCCTACCCAGCAGCCCTCTGTGCTTCCTGACACTCAGTAAATAAAAGTGAACACATTAACACTGATATGTTTTTTTACCTGGGGAGATGAGAAGATCCAAAGTTTCCTGCCAGGCCCAGGTACCAAAGCCTTATGATGTGGTGTCCAGAATGAAGTGGAGGGATCACTTCACTTGTCCTTCCTGCTCTTATCTCATTTTCTTCTCCTTCATTTGACACAGTCTTCTTTTTCTTCTGACACGGTCTTCTCTCCTCGTTGGCACCTTCTGCTCCATTACCTTTCTGCTACTTTCTGCCTATTTTACGCCCTTCTGCTCCTTTCTCTTTCTGCTCCCTTTCTGCTCCTTGCAGACCCTTCCTTCTCCTTGCAGCCCCTTCCTGCTCCTTGCTGCCCCTTTCTGCGCCCTCCTGCTTCTTGCAGACCCTTCCTGCTCCTTGCTGCTCATTTCTGTTCCTTTTCCTACTTTGTGCTCCTTCTGCCCTTTCCAGATAATTGTTGACCCTTTCTGCTCCTTGATTTCCCTTCCTGCTCATTTCTGCTCATTGCAGACCCTTTCTCCTTCATGCTTCCCTTTCCCGCTTCTTTCTGCCCCTTCCAGCTCTTTGCTGACCCTTTCTGTTCCATGTAGACCCTTTCTGTTCATTGTGGACCCTTTCTGTTCCTTCTCCTACTTTACCTTTGTGCTCCTTCTGATTCTTTCTGCTCCTTTACCTTTGTGCTCCTTCTGATTCCTTCTGCCTCTTCCAGCTCCTTGCTGCCCCTTCTTTCTCCTTGCTGCCCCTTCATGCTCCTTGCTGACCCCTCCTGCTCCTTTCTGACCCTTCCTGCTCCTTGCTGCCCCTTCCTGTTCATTTCTGCTCCTTCTACTTCACCCTCCTGCTCCTTGCAAACCTTTCATACCCCTTCCTGCTTCTTGCTGCCACTTCCTGTTCCTTCCTATTCCTTGCTGACCCCTCCTGCCCCTTGCAGAACCTTTCTTCTCATTTCTGCTCCTTCTACTTTACCTTCCTGTAGGCTGTCTCCCCCCATCCCTCACTTACCTGATCTGTAGGCTGCCCCCAGCCCTCACTTACCTAATCTGTAGGCTTCCCCCATCCCTCACTTACCTGATTTGTAGACTGTCACCCCATCCCTCACTTACCTGATCTGTAGGCTGCCCCAATCCCTCACTTACCTGATCTGTAGGCTGTCCTCCCTATGTCTCACTTACCTGATCTGTAGGCTGCCCCCTCCCATGTCTCACTTATCTGACCTGTAGGCTGCCCCCCATCCCTCACTTATCTGATCTGTAGGCTGCCCCCCGTCCCTCACTTACCTGATCTGTAGACTGGTCCCCCATCCCTCACTTACCTGATCTGTAGACTGGCCCCCAATCACTCACTTACCTGATCTGTAGGATACGCCCATCCCTCACTTAACTGATCTGTAGGATGCCCACCATCCCTCACTTATCTGATCTGTAGACTGCCCCCATCCCTCACTTACCTGATCTGTAGGCTGCCCCCCAATCCCTCACTTACCTGATCTGTAGACTGCCCCCCATCCCTGCCTTTCTCCATTCACAGCGCCTACTGGCCGGCGCCGGTATTGCAGTGTATTCTCACACTGAAATGAAAAATAACAGCACAAGCTGGAAAATCCCCCATGCTGGTTTCCCTTTGCATTAAACATCTGTCTTGCAAATTGTCAAATTGGGAAACAGTTCAATTAGGCAATGTTTCTAACAGGATTCCTTTTTGTAATTTGGGTCCTAACTCACCACAATTTACTGTTTAGTGAAAAAGCACTGACATCATGACAAAGATTAAGCAGCTAACTCTGGATTTGACAAATATTTCTTGAAATTGCAGCTTCAAATTCTACAGGGAGTGCAGAATTATTAGGCAAGTTGTATTTTTGAGGATTAATTTTATTATTGAACAACAACCATGTTCTCAATGAACCCAAAAAACTCATTAATATCAAAGCTGAATATTTTTGGAAGTAGTTTTTAGTTTGTTTTTAGTTATAGCTATGTTAGGGGGATATCTGTGTGTGCAGGTGACTATTACTGTGCATAATTATTAGGCAACTTAACAAAAAACAAATATATACCCATTTCAATTATTTATTATTACCAGTGAAACCAATATAACATCTCAACATTCACAAATATACATTTCTGACATTCAAAAACAAAACAAAAACAAATCAGTGACCAATATAGCCACCTTTCTTTGCAAGGACACTCAAAAGCCTGCCATCCATGGATTCTGTCAGTGTTTTGATCTGTTCACCATCAACATTGCGTGCAGCAGCAACCACAGCCTCCCAGACACTGTTCAGAGAGGTGTACTGTTTTCCCTCCTTGTAAATCTCACATTTGATGATGGACCACAGGTTCTCAATGGGGTTCAGATCAGGTGAACAAGGAGGCCATGTCATTAGATTTTCTTCTTTTATACCCTTTCTTGCCAGCCACGCTGTGGAGTACTTGGACGCGTGTGATGGAGCATTGTCCTGCATGAAAATCATGTTTTTCTTGAAGGATGCAGACTTCTTCCTGTACCACTGCTTGAAGAAGGTGTCTTCCAGGAACTGGCAGTAGGACTGGGAGTTGAGCTTGACTCCATCCTCAACCCGAAAAGGCCCCACAAGCTCATCTTTGATGATACCAGCCCAAACCAGTACTCCACCTCCACCTTGCTGGCGTCTGAGTCGGACTGGAGCTCTCTGCCCTTTACCAATCCAGCCACGGGCCCATCCATCTGGCCCATCAAGACTCACTCTCATTTCATCAGTCCATAAAACCTTAGAAAAATCAGTCTTGAGATATTTCTTGGCCCAGTCTTGACGTTTCAGCTTGTGTGTCTTGTTCAGTGGTGGTCGTCTTTCAGCCTTTCTTACCTTGGCCATGTCTCTGAGTATTGCACACCTTGTGCTTTTGGGCACTCCAGTGATGTTGCAGCTCTGAAATATGGCCAAACTGGTGGCAAGTGGCATCGTGGCAGCTGCACGCTTGACTTTTCTCAGTTCATGGGCAGTTATTTTGCGCCTTGGTTTTTCCACACGCTTCTTGCGACCCTGTTGACTATTTTGAATGAAACGCTTGATTGTTCGATGATCACGCTTCAGAAGCTTTGCAATTTTAAGAGTGCTGCATCCCTCTGCAAGATATCTCACTATTTTTGACTTTTCTGAGCCTGTCAAGTCCTTCTTTTGACCCATTTTGCCAAAGGAAAGGAAGTTGCCTAATAATTATGCACACCTGATATAGGGTGTTGATGTCATTAGACCACACCCCTTCTCATTACAGAGATGCACATCACCTAATATGCTTAATTGGTAGTAGGCTTTCGCGCCTATACAGCTTGGAGTAAGACAACATGCATAAAGAGGATGATGTGGTCAAAATACTCATTTGCCTAATAATTCTGCACTCCCTGTAATAGTGTTACCATAATGCCTTGTCTGATTGGGTGTGTATATAATAGTCCTTATGGGCATGAAGGGTCTTGCTACCCTCCAGTTTTTGTTGAAATTAACTAAATAAAAACCCAAAATAAAACGTATTTGCATGGCATGGTCCAATGATAAAAGTGTGTTATGAAACCATGTTGTAAGAAGATGTGGAGAGTTTGAACAACTAATCATTTTAAGATTTTCTGGCTATAGATCCCTCAGAGATGCTTAATCTAAAATTAGTTCTGATGTCACCCATGGGCTTTGTATTGGGCCATCAGCTTCTGGACGCGTTAAAAGACAGACCTGTGTATGGCTGTCAATGGGTAACTGCATCAGTGGTGTCATACCTGTTTATAGCCATTGTTGTTTTCTAAATACATGTATTTATAGGCTTATGCAATTGCCTTATGACATGTTCACACCCCCTCAACGTACACCCTTACTTTATACTGGGGACCTCTGTTTTTCTGTCCAAATGATGAGACACTGAAGGAGTTCTACATCTCTAAGCCACCAGCATTCTATTATATGGTCTTATTACATTCAAAACTCCAGGTTATGAATATTTGTATTAAGAAAAAAAAAATGTTTCTGATAAATATAAAACAATGGCCTTGATTCAATAAACTTTCCAAATAATTTAATACTGTTAGAAAAACGTTCCAAATAATTTATCTGCAAAAACCTTAATAGTGACTTCTGCTGATAAATTATTTTAAAATGTTGTTCTAGCAGTATTGAATAATTTGGAAAGCTTATTAATTAAATGTTGCTTATGCTTCTGATTAAATAAATTTTATTGTGCTTGAGGCATATTAACAGGATGCGGGAGTATTTTTTTTCCATATATTTGGCAATTTTATTCAAGCTGTTTTCTCTGATTAGAATACATTTCTTTATACAGGTTTAGCCCACCTTAAACTTATAAAATGTGTTATAATCATTATCATTTTAAATGAATTACAACGACAAAGGAATTCACCAAGACTCAACAACGACAACAGTACATTTCTTCTGGGTACCTTGTTCCTAGCGGGTCGTTGTAGCGGGCCGAGAGTAACCTGACTGGTCACCTCAGCTAATACATAATAAAGAGACCCGTTCTCCCATTTAACTGGACGACACACAGTTCCAGGGGTACAACAACAACTTTATTGGCCACACTTGGCTTTATATTTTCTCCATGCAAGGGATGGAACACACACAATGACAATGTCCCCTCCCTGGGTCCTCCCCCTCCCGGGGGTCGCACAACAAAATCGGAACCCCAATCCCTTTGTCCCCTGTCCCCATCCCAGGGGCCTGTGCATGTGACAGGAACTCTATTCCCTTTGTCCCCAGTTCCCGCCACCCCTAGTCAGGTTTTCCCACCCCTGATGACCCAGGGGTCTTCATCCCATGAGCCTCTGTACCTGGGAGTCCCAGTGCGGGAAAGCTTCCCGCCACTGTGACTCCCAGCCACAGAAAGCCCACCAACATGCCGTTGTCTCTAAGGAATGTCCCCACCAATCTCAGGGACCCCCAGAACGGTAATAGGCATGAACAGCCTCCGTTCGCAGGGTCCCTGGGTGAAGCCAGGCAAAGGGAAGCATCCCTTTTTGGGACACGAATGCTCCCCCTGGCCGCTGCTCGTCTATACAAATGACGGCCACCCAGGGAAGCACTCATTAATTACTTCTCTTGTGGTTTCACACTCATGTTGCAAGTTGCCAACGTTCTAATTGATTGGTGCGAACATTGCAAAGGGCACTGGGGAGGACCTAATTCCGGAAACCAGACGAGACGAGAAGCAATCCATGAATGCTCCCCCTGGATTGCATTTGTCTAATGAACAGGTCGCCACCCAGGGTCGGCACGCGCCGAGGCTTCCCTTGCTGTTTGCGGTTTTCACACCTCTTTAGCCAGGTGTGAACGTTCTAACTAAACATTCTAAATGGGATCTTGGGGAACCCGTTCGTATGAGCTCTCCCAAACGGGGAGCAGGTAAAACATACACAGATTCACAAATACATGGGGGGAAAGCAGGCAATCACATAAAGACAATTCATGGATGGGTAACGGTCCCACCACAGTCATTTTGGGTTTAGATTTGAGTACTGTTGGAGCAGAGAACTAGCCTTGTCTACATTACTAGAAGAGGCAAATCAAATCATACTGCTTGCTGTGTTCAGGACCGGTGCAAGGATTTTTGCCTACACAAGAAAAAGCCAGCGGTAGTGGTTATGGTGCCAGGAGTGCCCTGAAGCCCTTCTAGAGTAGCTTGTGCTGCATTTGGCTTCTCCTACTGGATGTCTTCTCTTCAATGACCTAAGCAAGTAATGGCATAAGGAGGTTAAGAGATCCCCAATGGTAGGGGACAAGGGCTGTGGTGGGGGACAAGGACAGTTGTGGAGATTAATGGCTGTATAACAATGGGACAGGGGCTGTGGTGGGGATAGTGGCTGTATAGAAAACGACAGGGGCTGTGGTGGGGAGTAGTGTCTGTATAGGAAATGACAGGGGATGTGGTGGGAGGACATGGGCTGTGGTGGAGGGTGTTGCCTGTATATAAAAGGACAAGGGCTGTGGTGGAGCATAGTGGCTGTATAGGAAAGGACAGGGGGTGTGGTGGAGGGTAGTGTCTGTATAGGAAATGGCAGGAGCTGTGGTGGGGGCAGGGGCTGTGATGGGGGGTAGTTGCTGCTTTAAAAAAACAAAAAACTATAAACCATTTTTAATTAAAAAACAAACTAAAGTATATTCCTCCGTGAGGCTTACCTTGGGCCAGAGAGAGTGGAAACCCTGGTTGTCAGGTGGGACAGGAGCTGGAGGCTTCAGGTCGAGTCAGGTCCACTGGGGAGTCTGGGGGAAGAGCACTGAAAGTCATGCTCTCCTCCTGATATCATCAGAAGAGTCTGACTAAATTCACTGACAATCTGGTGTGTAATGGCTGCATGGAGAGTGAGCTAAGCTGCGGTTATCTAAAAAAACTCAAGTTGGATATTTGTACCCACCTACTCTGGTGCCACCTTATGGATGCATCAGCACTGACTGTGATAATGCATTTCTATGAGAAGGACTGCACTCATTCCAGGAGCCACAGGCAGGGCCGGATTTACATAGGGGCTGATGGGGACACTAGGGGACAGTAGGAGATGTGAGGAAACTAAAACACTGGGGGACACTGGGAAACACGTGGACACTGAGACACTAGGGGACACTGTGAGACATGGGGATGCTGAGACACATGGGGATGATGTGAGACATAGGGAGACACATTGGGACACAGTGTCTCCATGTCTCCCAGTGTCCCCATGTCTCCCAGCCAGTGTCCTTAGTATCTCAGTGTCCCCATGGCTCCCCATGTCCCCTAGTCTCCCAATGTCCCCTAGTCCCCCAGTGTCTGTGTCCCCATGTCTCTCAGTGTCCCCATGTCTCAGTGTCCCCAAATGTCTGTGTGCCCATGTCTCAGAGTGTCCCCAAAAGTCTGTGTCCCCATGTCTCCCTGTGTCCACATGTCTCTCAGCCAGTGTCTCAGTGTCCCCATGTCTCCCAGCCAGTGTCCCTAGTATCTCAGTGTCCCCATGGCTCCCAGGGTCCCCTAGTCTCCCAGTGTCTGTGTCCCCATGTCTCTCAGTGTCCCCATGTCTCAGAGTGTCCCCAAATGTCTGTGTCCCCATGTCTTCCTGTGTCCACATGTCTCCCAGCCAGTGTCCCCATGTCTCTGTGTCCCTAGTGCCCCCAAACGTCTCAGTGTCCCCATGTCTCCCAGTGTCCCCATGTCTATGTCCACAAGTTCTCCAATGTCTCCCAGTGTCTCCAAGTGTCTGTGTCCCCATGCCTCCCAGCCAGTGTCCCTAGTGTCTGTGTCCCCATGTCTCCCAGTGTCCCCTAGTCTCCCAGTGTCTGTTTTCCCATGCAGTGGCGTACACACAACCCATGGGGCCCCGGTGCGAAAACTGATCCGTGGGCCCCCATCTCCCCCCGCGTGCTTACTCTGCGCGGGCTAGGGCCGCAACACATGGCGGCGGGCACCTGGTCGCAGGGGTCACAGGGCTGCGACCCCTTTGACCACGGTATGTACGCCAGTGCATGCAGTTACACATACACTTAAAGGACCACTACAGACACCCAGATCACATCAGCTCAATGAAGTGGTCTGGGTGCCAGGTCCCTCTAGTTTTAACCCTGCAGCTGAAAACATAGCAGTTTCAGAGAAACTGCTATGCTTCACTGAGGGTTAATCCAGCCTCTAGTGGCTGTCTCATTGACAGCCGCTAGAGGAGCTTCCGCGATTCTCACTGTGAAAATCACAGTGAGAAGACGCTGAACGTCCATAGAAAAGCATTGAGTAATGCTTTCCTATGAGTAATTCCTTTCTTATAGCTGCATCCTTTGAGTTTCCCTCCAATACCAACTCCATCAGATATTTGACGCTTGAGATGACTGTTTTAGTGTTTTTGGTCGATAAGGTTCTGTAATTAGGCCCCATCATAATTGTCAGCACCAGGCCCAAAGGGCTTTTAGTCTGGCCCTGGCCACACGGTGCTGAACTGAAGCAGGACCAACAAATCTCTTCCAAATGTTGCATCCAGAGAGCTTCAGGCACTCACTTGGATCAAGGTGCTAAGCAATGTTATTATATCACCACATACAGCGTAACGTTTTGACCTAAACAAAGACCTTTGTTAAAGTCCAAATGCTGTTCTGTATGTGATGATCCAATAAAGCCCAATAAAGTTGCTTTGACCCCAGTGAGTACCTGTAGCCTGTTTTTGGATGTGATAATGCAGGCATGAACATTGAAAGAGAAAATTGTTCACAAGTCATCAATGGAGAAAGCCTTTTGAGAGCCATAATCAGACTTTAACCATCTTTCATAATGTCTACATATCTATTGTATCTCAGCCATCACAACTATAACTAGTACATTCACTGCACTTTAATGTAAGTACGTCTGTTAATGCTACATAAATAGCGCATACATCCATTATATAACTAGTGCAATTACTGTACCTACCCCTACTGTAATATAATCTGTGACCATTAAGTACACATGTTAGTGTTAGCTAAATAAAATAAACAAACGGAGCTTGCATTAGGCTTGCATTTTCCGTAATAGCATGCTGTCTGATAATGACATAATAAAACATAGCATATTTGCTATTATTTATATTATTTTTTTATTATGTTATACCGTTGAAATTACAATAAGGTTAGGAGACCTAAGACATTGCCTACAATAGATTTTCTTATGTACACTGCCGCTGTGGATTAAATAAAAAAAGATTCATTCTGTTGACACAGAATGCTGACCTTTTATATCTCGACTGAAAATAGATTACCATGTTTCGATAAAAGTGGGCCAGTATGGCTTCCTCATACAACAATTTACAAATTGATGACAATTGCCTGGCCCTTCAGATGCTGATTTTGTTGACAGATTTCCACGAAAATCTGCCTACTCACCTCCCAATTCATTTCATGGAAAATTTACATTTTTACACAAGTCAGCTAATGGAAGCTTTGTCAAAAAGTTAATATTTTATGGGCTGAGCAGCTATTCTGTAAAAATAATAAAGATACATTTTATACTGATTGGTGCATAACTACTGACATCTAGTGGAAGTATTTTACATGTTATTTTTCTTATGGTCATTTAGCCCACACATCTGTTAAAGTATTTAATTTGTAATTTGATAGAGGGTTTATAAAAATTCTATGTTTTATATACATATATTTAAACAACAATGATAAAGTAAAAATCTGTCAATTTCAAGATTCCTGTTGATGTAGGCTTTAGACATGATAACATAAATATTTGAGCATTCACCAGTCACAAAAATGCAAAATTACAGCTTATGAAAGGGACTCACCAAGCGCCATACACACTACAGCAGGGGTGCCCTAAAGGTAGCTCCCCAGATGTTGTATAACTATAACTCCATGCCTTTAAGATTTCCTTTAGAATGAGAAAGCATTATGGAAGTTGGTAATTTAGAATATCTTGGGATCTACCTTTTGGGCACCCCTTCCTGCCCTACAGCGTGCCATAGTGGTTATGGTGCTTGGAGTGCCCTGGAGCTCTCCCATGGTAAGTAGTCAAACTGTTAGCCAGCAGAAGCTTTTGGCTCTACTGAAGGCTGCGATCAATGCCCAGATCCTAGGTGAGTTGCCAAACCACTCACAAACAAGCACGCTATAGTAGCTATGGTGTTTGGAGTGTTCCTTTAAGAATATTTAGTTAACCTTATGGTGCTGGTCCACCTTACTGAATGAGAGCACAAAACGTACAAGTTTCTGCAGAATTTTGTCATTTGTTTTCAATGCACTATAACACTATTTTGTAAATAACTGTGTTTGGAAACATTTGCATATCAATGGCATCCATTTAAGACATTGTATGCCAACCCCAAGTTGGAAGGAAAAGTAGATGACAACACTCATTTTGTTAAATATTTTTTGTAACATATTGAAGCACTATTGGATTGTGACCTTTAAATGTGTGATGGTATAACCATTGATTATTGTACATTGCCTTCTGTGACATTTAGCCTACTATGTGTGGTGTGAGACAGACAAGCCTTATCGAGGTAAAAACATATATAACTCAGGACAGTTTATAGCAACACACATTTAACAACTTTATATATATATATATGGATCTGACCGTAAGATTTTAAAATGACCATGTTTCACATTGTCTTCTAATCAATCTAATGATTATATATAGTTTTTGTTATTTTCTACATAATTCCTGATTTCTACATTTTACCTGATTTTCTACATTTGTTCCCATTTTACAGTTGTCTGCTGTAATTTATGTTGAAAATATTTGAAGAGGTCGGTTTAGGGCATCTTCTATGTTTGCATTCCATTTTGTAAATGTACAAATATTTTCATAGTTTATTATATTCCTTTAGACACTCTTGCCTGAACCCTACCATTTCTTATAGGTCACTGGAATTATTTTCATTATAAAGAAAACATTTTCTTAGCCTTTATATTTTTGGATTAATATATATATATATATTTATCATAAAATGTTTAGAACATCCGCACAAGGTTGGAATGCCTTTGGCGTTAATGTGTTTTTCAGTGGAATTTGGAATATTGTCAAACATTAAAATGCATTGTACATGTATTGAAAACACATTTTACCAAAAGATAATGCTCACATATGGACATACTCCCCTTTTATTCCCATAACAATAACAACATATTTTCCCAGCTCATTTCCTCACCACCATATATTGGTAAATAGGGGGATGTCTGGTCCATGACTTCTAAATGCCAATCCAGCTAACTAGATGGAACAGCAATATCAATCTCTAAATGTTTTCTCCCCCTCGCAGTTGGTTTTCCATTCACCATGGTAACAGTTAGATGTGAATTTATTTAAAATTGTCCCCCAGCTTCCTCCTATCCTTCCCATCAATAAATTATCTTACCTCTGCATTATGTTATTGGAGGAATATCTAAAAATAGCTTCCAAAAGCTGCAGATCTCTTGTCTGAAGCCTTTGCAAACCCTCCCCTTCTAACCCCGCCCACACCGTCTGTAGATGTCCAATCACAGACTTCTCAATGCAGATCAATGGCTTTGCAAGGCAGGTGCTCTGAGTAATTCCCTGTTTCTTGTGTTAAGCTGCACTGAGCTAAACACCAGGAAGTAACAGGACCAGTTGTCTGATTGACAGCCAGGGGTGTAACAAGAATAATATAAAGGTGTCAATCTGCACTTTTAGTAAAATGGGAAAAAAGAGGGCACACTCTTCACACATAAAGCTTTTCAACAAGCTAAAATGCTTTAGGGGTCTGGAGTGCCTGTTTTATCCATGAGCACTAGACTTGTGCATTCGGATTTGTACCACTCTGCTTTTTGGTTGAATTTCATATTGTCAAAGATTTCTTTTGGGTTGAGAACCCCACCTCTCCACTCCAGGTGCCCCTTTGAAAGCAGTAAAGCATAGATTTGAAAAGATTCTCTGGAAGCTGTTTAAGCATTAAATATTGCAGTTTGCATGTATATCTCTCATGTTAAAATTAGCATAGGACTAGCCAATAGTGGAGTATTCTAATGTAGTGATTGGCCTAAAGGGACACTATAGTCACCAGAACAACTACAGCTTATTGTATTTGTTCTGGTGAGTATAATCATTCCCTTCAGGCTTTTTTGCGGCAAACACCGTCTTTTCAGAGAAAATGCAGTGTTTACATTACAGCCTAGTGATAATGCCACTGGCCACTACTCAGATTGCTACTAAAGGTACTTCCTAGGGCAGTGCTGCACACTGTGCAGTACTGACATTCAGTGTCTCCACCCTCTGCATGCAGACACTGAACTTTGCTAATGTTGATTGGACAGGGCTGTGTTTGATTTTTGCTGGCTCTGCCCCTGATCTGCCTCCTGGACAGTCTCAGCCAATCCCATGGGAAAGCATTATGATTGGCTCACATAATCACTTCTGAACATGTCAGCAAAGCAGGGAGGTCAGGGTCAGAGCCAGCAGCTGCAGACTTGAATACAAGTAAGTTTTTACTATATTTAGGGGGGCTACGGGGCCAGGTTTGCTAGATGGTGGTTTTAACACTCTAGGGTTAGGAATACATATTTATGTTTCTGACCCTATAGTGGCCATATGATGTAACTGAATCTTCATATTTGTTTGCTAAGATAGGTGATTGTAAAGCAGCTCTGTCACCCCCTATCCAAAATAAGATAAAATCCTTATGACATACTCACATTGGCTGTGTTGGAATTTCTTTGAAATACTAACCGTGTCAAAAGATATATGAAGGCAAAGCTTAGTTGACACAAGGCAAAGCTTGACACAAGGCAGAGCTACTGTTTGTCAAGCGCTGTCAATCCCTCAGCCGTCACTGGCAGCTGAAGCAAGCATTGGCAGGAAGAAAATAGTGGCAGCCGTGAAGGACAAGATCAGATAAATTGTCTCTTTATCAGGAACATGTATGTTTATGTCATTGTCTCTTTAAATAATAATGTTGTTTCCCTTTAAGTTCACATGTCCACTGACAATATGCAGCCCATTTAAGTCCATCCTGTCAGTGAATCAGTGCACTCTTAAATACCTTACATCAGTGTTATGCTCATGTGCCTTGCGTGTTTCTACTAACTATCTTTTCAGAAACATAGAAACATAGAATGTGACGGCAGATAAGAACCATTCAGCCCATCTAGTCTGCCCAATTTTCTAAATACTTTCATTAGTCCCTAGTCTTATCTTATAGTTAGGATAGCCTTATGCCTATCCCATGCATGCTTAAACTCCTTTACTGTGTTAACCTCTACCACTTCAGCTGGATGGCTATTCCACTACCCTCTTAGTAAAGTAATAGTTGACACAAGGCAGAGCTTCCATTTGTCAAGAGCTGTCAATCCCTCAGGTCTCTGATTCACTCGCTCAACTCAGAATTGATTTTCCACTTTCCTCATGGGGAATTCCTTCAAAATCTACGAATTGTATCCTTATACTCACCTTGTTTCCTGCATTTCTCCATTTGACTTTAAATGTTTCCAACTGACTGCTGAAAGCTAAATGAACTCTCTTTTTGTGCACTCAGCTACTGCCAGCCAGTTTACCAGCCTGTATATTTGTGTTTTTCCATATGGGAATTGCTTTCTGCAGGAATCACTGACTTGCCTCAAGATTTGGGTAAATCCCCATTTTCTTTTACTCTCTCACATTTGAACAATCTGCTATGAACTTTGTTTGTTTTCCCACTGCTACTTGGCTAATACATTTACAAGGTGAGCAACCTATTTTATTTTGCAAGTAATGCTTTCTTTTTGCTTTACATTGTTCAAAATCAGGTTCTGATTCAGACTGTCTGATTTAAAAAAAAAGATATTCATGTTTATTTGATCTTATTTTTGACAATAAAAGTCTCTGCAATTTGATATAATATTTTCCTGCTCCATCTGTAAGGAACAGGAGTGAACATGACACTGATCTTCCCTCGCACCCTTCGACCACTGCACTGCCAGCAGAGCGGTTACCATCGGTGGTTCATTGGCGGATCCCCCTTACACACACAGCCCCCCTCTTACACACACAGCCCCCCTCTTACACACACAGCCCCCTTACATACAGCCCCCCTTACACACACAGCCCCCTCTTACACACACAGCCCCTCCTGGCACACACACAGCCTCCCTACATACACAGCCCCCTACACACACACACCCCTCTACATACACAGCTCCCTCCTCCTACATACACAGCCCCCTCTACATACACAGCCCCCTTACACACACACAGCCCCCTACACACACAGCCCCCTACACACACAGCTCCCCCTCTTACACACACACACAGCTCCCTACACACACAGCCCCCTACATACACAGCCCTTACATACACAGCCACCCTCACACACAGCCTCCCCCACAGCTCCCCCTTACACACACTCTTACATATACACAGCTCCCCCCACTTTACACACACAGCTCCCCTTTCTTTTTTACATACACAGCCTCCCCTCTATATACACAGCTCCCCTCTACATATATTGTGCCCTCCCTCTCTTACATACACAGCCTCAAGCACACACACAGCTCCTTATATCTACAGCTCCCCTATATACACAGCCCCCTACACACACACATAGCCCCCTATATACACAGCTCCCCCCTATACACACAGCTCTACACACACAGCTCCCTTACATACAAAGCCCCTACATACACAGCTCCCCCCACACACAGCCAGCCCCCCTATATACACAGCCTCTACACACACAGCTCCCCCTATAACATACACAGCCCCTTACACACACACATCCTCTATATACACAGCTCCCTACACACAGCTCCCTACATACATTGCTTTCCTCCCTATTACACACTACAGCTCTATACACACACACAGCCCCCCCTACACACACACAGCCCCTTATACACACACACAGCCTCTACATACATACAGCTAGCCCTCTCTTACATACACAGCCCCCCTTACACACACACAGCCCCCCTTACAAATAGCCCCAATACACACACAGCCCCAATACACACACAGCCCCAATACACTCACTGTCCCCCATACACACACATAGCACCCCTCACACAAAAACACACTGCGCCACTCACACACAAACACACTGCTCCCAATACACACAAATACACAAATTGCTTCCCCATACATACACTGCACCCCTCTCACACACGCACTACCCCTCCATACACATACTGCGACCCTCACACACACTGCACCCCTCACACACATACACACTACAACCCCTATCCCGGCAGACCTGGGTAAGTTATCAAACGTTTTTTTTAAAGGTTTGACTACTTACTCTGGGAGGGCGCCACAGCAACTCCTGGCACCAAAACCACTACAGAGAGTTGTAGTGGTTATTGTGCCTGGATTGTTTCTTAAAATAATCTGCCCGTGCCCCTCCCGAGATTAGCTTCTGGATCCGCCACTGCGGTGGTTTTTACAAATTATGCAAATACCCCAGACACTGACAGAGCTGTGTAGCCAAGTAGCCTGGTAAGATTTATAATTGTATATTTTTGTTGTGTGTCTGCTGTTACTTTGTCTGTATTTTGCATATATTTCCAGCAGCACCACTGTGAGAAATGCATGCTCTGATATTTCCCCCCAATTCCCTTTAAATTCATTCTTATCAGCTCTGTCCTTTGCATCTGGCAGTCAACATAGAGAAAGTAAATAGAGAAGATGAAAAATCTAAATATGTTTCTATCTCTCCTTCTCTTTGCAATGTGTACCCTGGCTTGACCTGGGTTATTATTTAATTTGCTAAACCGTCAATATAAACCTCCTTGCATCTGACAAACCTACATGTCTGTTATGGAATCTCACCATGTTGGGATAAAGCTCTGCTACAGGGTAACTAGTGCTCTAATTCTACACTGTGATAAAACCTCAAAACTTCATTGTAAGCAGAGGAACCTTAAATATGCCATATTTGTAATATGTGGCTACAGCGTTACTGCTTTTTTTGACATATAGAAAATGTCTTTAGAGTGACCACTTGCCTACACACTTGTAATAAACATATTATAGCAGTTATACAAATTGCTAGGCGATAGTGTAAAGAATAGTCACATTGCATCGTCACGCACACTAGTCCATTCTCAGCTGTCCTGAACAAGGGCGATGGTGGTATTAGCAAAGTAACTAGTTTGTCACTGAAATCTTGTTTCATGGAGAAAACTCCAAGGGTTGGTAGATCTCTACTGCCATCTAAAGGATGATTTAGTAAATTAACTTTTTATTTGTATTTTTTATAAACACAGATACCATTGTCAAGTTTATTCACTAGACTCACTCTCACCATATTGCAGAACTTATGAGTCAAAATATCTATTGTAGTTTGTCAAACTAAAGTTTTATCTTTACAAAATAACCCCCAAAATGATCTGGATGAACTCTAAACTGAGCACCCACAATGGTGGGTCCTGTAATTACATTGTAGCACAAAGCAGCAGAATTAGTTATACAATGTATTAAGTTTGTTAAGGTGGGTTTGCGGTGCTGGTGCCTATACTACATCCCCATAATCAATGATTGGCATCAGCATTTGCTGTACAATCTTTTCCTTTACTGTAGGGCCTAAGCACAGAATTATTTTTTGCAGCTATGAACTTTGCAATGTTTCCATTGCATACATATCTCATAACACCTACTTACAATCTAATATAGTGGACTACTCCATTCCTCCCAAACGGCAAAAGCTGTGCTAAACATATTTATACTCTTTTTGTAGGGTTCGTTCTCACCATTCTAATTATGCACAAAATGAGGCAGGATTATTCATATGTGGGTTCTTATTAATGTTTATTTTGGATAGTACACAGGAGCACAATAGTTCTCTTCAATGCCAATGGTCATTACCATATCAGAAGAACCCTCTATCTAAGAGGGGATATAGAGGCATTTGGTAGAAGCCAGTTATACACATTGAAGCCATACTTACAGGCAACTCATGTGTAACATTTCACACCTTGCAGAGGCTCTGGTTATAGTCACAGCTTCAAAAAAGCAATTAATATCTTAATCTTCTGACATCCATCACATTCCTAAAAATCCCATTTAACCCCTCTCCTCCTGAATTTGGCAATGCCACCTCTACCAGATACCAGGTGGCCACACAAATCACATTAGATAGCAATATTCTACAGGGTAACAATGAATTATGCACCATTAGTGTGACAAAGGGTACTTCCAGAATCACTACAGCCAAACATAAAATGTCATAACTTTTCTGTATAGTGTAAAAGTAGTATCAAATATAGTAAATACCCTGCATGCATTGAATAAATCCAGTATGCTAGAGGATGAATTGTGGCCTGTATTGGGCCAGATCGCAGTGAATCCTGATTTAGGCAGAAAATAAAATGGCCACTGAGAATCTCACGAGGTGCAAGATAGCCTCTGCGTACACTCGAGTGCCAGCGATACCATTCCACTTGGCCCACTTAATCCCATGTACGCAACCTCTGATATCATGCCCTGTTCAACACCATAAAGCTATAGATATACGTATTCGGGAAACAATCACTTTAAAGAAGTTGAACTCCACCTACTGGTACTGTTACCTAATGACAACCCTAAAAGAAAGGACAATACACAGACTGTTTTTTAAGGCCAACAGATTTTAGTAGGGGAGGTGCCCAACTGCCTCTATGGACCAGACTCCACTCCTAGAGAATAATCCTGAATAACTGCCTTATGGTAGCAATCCCCAAAACAAACAGTAACAAGGTAAAATGAAGTGCACAATGTACTTAATTAAGCAATCTTCAAAAAGGGAACAAACATTGCGTTTCCCAAGGACAACAACACTGAGAAAACGGACCTCTTACTCAGAGGAGTTACAAGCTAATTAAAATAGAAATTAGAAGATGTGAAGTAAAAGCCTAATTAAAAGAGACAATATATAATGGCTTGGCAGTAATTAGATAATACCCATCACATTTCAGAGGACAGTGTACTAACGGGCTCTTTCCTGCCTGTCTAAGTTAATCTTCTTTAGAGCAGCAAATGTGTTAAGTCGCCACTAGCATAAATCACCATTAATTTCAGACTGGGCAGAAAAATATTGAAATGCCTTGAGTATGATAAATAAAATTTACCCAAGTGTAAGAATCAATATTTTATTTCTAGTGGGTTTTTTTCTTCATATTTTGAATGAACTTTTTTTTTTTTTTAATAAAATGATTATGCTGTTAAGGAAAATGATCATTAGTTTTTAATGTGACTTAAAAAGGGAGTTACAAATTAAAATGTGGCAGAGGAGGGGCATTCTCTGGATCCTGAGAATGGACTCAGTTTATGTCAAAGCATTCCTAAACAATGTGACATTAAAGGGACATTATAGTCACCAAAACAACTTTAGCTTAATGAAGCAGTTTTGGTGCATAGATTATGCCCCTGTAGTCTTACTGTTCAATTCTCTGCTTTATAAGAGGTAAATCACTTTGTTTGTACAGTCCTAGTCACATCTCCCTGCATGTGACTTGCACAGCCTCCCTAAACACTTCCTGTAAAGTCGTGTAATGTTTACACTTCCTTTGTTGCAAATTCTGTTTAATTTAGAATTTCTTATCTCATGCTCTGCTAATTACTTGCGAGACCCTGCAGGAACCTCCTGTCTATGATTAAAGTTCAATTTAAAGAGCAGGAGCTACAAACTTCTAAAGCAAGTTAACAATGGAATTGAAAATAAACTATATATTTTTATGTAGGCCGCGTGAGTCACAGCCAGGGGAGGTGTAGCTAGGCTGCATAAACAGAAACAACATTTATTTAATTCCTAAATGGCAGAGAATTGAGCAATGAAACTTCAGAGGCATGAGCTGTACCACAAAACCACTCCATTGAGCTAAAGTTGTTTTGGTGACTATAGTGTCCCTTTAAATTGAGAGCGACTAACGTGAGCTGCTTGGATGGCCACTGTAATGTTGGGCCATTGTTTTTTTTCCTTTTGGAGATTACTTGAAATAGGTTTGAGCTAAGTTATTCACTAATGTGTGAAAAAAGTGAATTTAAAAGGAATTTCAAAAATAACAGAAGTGAAAGCATGGCTGACCGGGATTTGTTTTTATAATTTGGCTGTTTTGGCCTAAAAGTTAAAATTCCCTGCAAATTTACTGCACTTCACACTTTAGTGAATAAAGCTTCTATAGGTGACATTTTGTGCTTGGACATTCATAACCAGGCCCCAGCTCTTAATCCCTAACTAATGTTAGGTGTTTTTAGAATTGCTGAGACAAGATTGGACTAGCTGGAATCAGAGGTCATTTTGGCTTATAAGTATCATCTACACCACATCCAACCAAACAGCACTATATACAAACTATAACCTCTTTTCATACATATGAGCCTTGAAATTGTTTATTTAATTTAAATTTTTAAAAATTGTATTTCATACAAGGCCTTCTTAACTGTTACTTTTTAGTTGTTCAATATATTACTTTGTTTGTGTGTGTATATATTTATGTATGTGTGTGTATGTATGTATGTGTGTGTGTATATGTGTCTATTTTATAGCATCGGATTATGTAATAATCTGATCTGGATTCCAAATATACACAGAAAAAAAACATGTTCTGGGTGTTTCCCAATTCCCTTTTTTCCTCTATGTATATTTGGAATCCAGAGCAGATTACTTTTGGGATGAGCACTCCACCCCTCCACTATAGATGCCCCTTTGGAGGTGAACACAGGAAAGTATACACTTGAGTAGAGTCTCTGGAAGCAGTTTAAGAAGTAAGTTGAAGTTAGCATGTTAAAATAGTGTAGGAGAACAAAAGGATGCAAAACACAAATAGATAATCAAGTGCAAAAGTCTCTTTATTGTTTATAGAGAAAGCACATAAGCAAGTCAGCCTATAATAAAAACCGTTTAAAAAGTGACCAAGTCTTACTTAAACAAACTATACTGATAATTACTTACATTGAGCCTATAAAAGCTAGACACATGTCAAAAACAATCCCGTAACGTGTCTTTCTCAAGGGATAGCTTACATTTTTAGCATATTTGGGTGAATATGAACATGAAATTGTTCAACCATGACTTCTTGTTTCACAGGGGTATAAATATGAGGTAACACATAGACCAAATTCAATCAGGTATTCATCACAATGGGTAAGACCAAGGAATATAGCTGTGATGTGCTGCTGTGATGTTGAGCTTCACAAAATGGGAAGTGGCTATAAGAAAATCACCAGGACGGTGATTTCCACCATCAGGGCAATAATTGAGAAGTTCCAGTCAACTGTAGAATTGCAGAAGTTATTTGCGGCTTGGTCAAGGAAAGTCTCCAAAACTACAATCCGATGTCACAAACATCACTGCAAATTGTATGGAAGGGTCTCAAGAAAAAAGCCTCTAGTCTCTAGAACTCAAAAATTTTCTTAGCCAGAACTTCTGGAAATTCAAATGGGATCAGGTTCTAGGGTCAGATGAATCCAAAATAAAGCTTATTGACAATACACACCAGAGGTTGGTTTGGCACACAGAGAGAGGTGGCCATATGTAAAAGTACTCCATATCCATGGTTAAATGTGGTGTGGTTCTTTAATGTTTTGGGATTGATTTTCTGTCAGAGGACCTGGACATTTTGTTAGGAAACTATGGACTATCTAAAATCAGCAGATATTAAATGAACACCCGAGGTTAGTTACAGTAATCTATGATAACAAACAACCAGACCAAATTGTCTAAATGAAGATACAACAAGCAAGCCTATATTTATAAATAGAACAGAGAAAAGTAAAAAGTCCCAATTGAACAGTAAAATGAAATAAAAAGGGGTAGTCCTCAGGAATTAATCCATCTGAATGGTAAAATGTTTTATAAAAGTCACATAAAAAAGTCTCTCTATATACCAGGATAGGGGGGAGAGTTGGCAATCCTCAGGAGTTGATCCGTCCGGGTGGTTAAAATATCCGTATATGGGGAGAGAAAGGGAAAATAGCCGATGGTGTAATATCGTCAGGATCCAGTAAAAGATCAATGAAATGAAGGTAATACACTCACAGTTAAAAGAGCCCTAGCCAGCTCTGGGGTGCAGGGCGTGTAGCGGTATGATCCCCGCTAATAGATATAGTGGAGAGGTACGTCCGTCAATCCAGTCTGATTTGGCAGTGCTCCAGAATATATATAAAAAACAGCAATAGTGCAAATGTTTCCATTTGGATTGATGTTGGTTTGGAACACAAGGGGATGGTCACTTATCGTTTCTACAGGTACGCCTTAACTCCACCCCTGGGATAGACTTGGTAATCTACAGGGTATACATCTAATGATTCTGAAATGTGTTAGGACTTGCTTGGGGGCCAGACTCTAATTCTGAGTGAGTCACCATCTTTCTTACCAGAGACCCCCCTGGGCATAAGTTTTACTTTGAAAACCTGAGTAAGTGATTAGGTCTTCTGTTATTTTATCCCTTTTTGTTTTTATTGGTTTTAATCTATATTTTTGTATGCACTGTGACTATTTTTTGCTCATAAAAAATATTCCTTTATTAAGTTTTGCTTTTGTCTGGTAAAGAATCACATTACCTGAAGATACTAATTAGTGTTTTTCAATTACATAGATATTGTTCTAAGTTGTATTTGGTGTGTTTTATTATTAAGTTACCTGGGGGACCAAGGCACCCCATTTATAAATTGTCTTGGTGGTGGCAGCGTTAAAGTAGGGTTAGATGTGGGTGGTGTTAAGTAAGATTTTATCATTATTTCCTGTCTAGTGCTGATGAATAGTGAACTTTAACCCTTTCACTACAACTACGTCATGCACACTCTTGAAGTAGGGTGTGTTCGTTACACATGGTACTTACTACAATACGCCATTCACTTTTTTTTGTACATATATCCTGTGTCATCAGGTAAGTAAGGCCACCTGTTGTTTTTTGAGACAAAGTGGCCTCTAGATTATTATATTTTAATGACTTATTATATTTGGGGAAGGGATGGAGCGTTTGCTTGCTGGTATTGCATATTCTTTGCAGCCAGTACTTTTTATCCAGTATTCTACATTGCCTTCCTAATTATATAGAAAGGAGCACATTATAGTTTAGTATAGGGCTTTACAATTGACAAGCTGTTCAAACGCCGTCACATGTCAAACCTTGTCGTGTATTCAGGCTGTTTCATAAGGAAATCAGCCAAGGACTAGGATCATTGAATTCATTAGTAAAACATGAACAAAACTCAGCAAAATGTAACAAAAATACCTCTTGGTGTTTTAACAGACGTTGCAAAATCCATGCCCATAATTTAAATTCCAGGTGTATTTTGATTGTCTTACAAAATTCAAGAAGTCAATTTGAATGAATGCGTACTGAGCATTTTTATGTCTCTCTGGTGGTGTGGTTTCCTTACCTGGTTACTCTGAAAAGCAGAGGAGCAATAATAGGCTTAGGAGTTAAAAGAGTCTTTACTTATTTTATAAAAATGCTGATTTCAAAAGAAAGAGACATTTATAATGTTCCTAGGTTGTCCTATTTGTTCGGTCAATCAGACAGTTTTCTTATTCTGATAGCAATTGTGCATACACCATAGGACCAAAATGCTACTCTATGAAAACTTTGGGATATTCTGATAAATCGTTATTAAAGAGAATCTCACTCAATTTTTAGACGTTTTAGTAGGGGTCAAATCTAAAAATGCAGAATTTACACTTGAAACAGATTTAGGGTAAATTATAAATAATAAACTGTATCATTGTGATATTTTATACGAGTTATTTACGTTAATGGATTAGTGTCCATTTTATCTTTCAAGAGCTAGTAAGACTAAGGATTGTGGTCTGCGTAGAACAAACGTCATCTTTGTCATCTTTACATAGAACTATAGTACAGTATCATAGTTTGACTCACGCCGAAAACATTGAGCATTGAGAAATGTAAAGAGCTGAAAAATGAAGACAAACAAATGTTTAAACAAACCAAGATCTCAATTACTAGGAATTCAAATGATGTGATATCGCAAACTGTACAATAACAGCATGGATGGGAAAATAAACAAATCCATGTGGTAAAAGACGAGGTGGCTAGTACAATAGTTTCCTCTTTTGTTTTTTTTACAAAATTAGGGAATTTTGACATTTAGGACATCTTGAATTCTAAACTTTCTGATATAAAAATAAAAAATGAATTTCTTCCATGATGGTATCCCTGCTTGCACATGAATTTAGAAACTCATAGGATGGCAGTGACAGATGGACACAATGTAAGTGAAGTGTTGTTACAATCTTTTTAGGTATATATGAATGGTTGACATTTCGGTAGCCCTGGGACACAATATTATAATTAGCTAGTGGAATTCTTTGGGATTATAGAAGTTGAACAATCCTCACGGAAACCAATGGACTGTTCTTGTGAATGCTCAATATAAGCCCACAATTGCAATGGACTGTTCTTGTGATTGCTCAATATAAGCCCACAATTGCAAATTTTGTTGTTTCAGTTAAACAGGGATTCCTGCAAACAGGCCTGCGGTCTCCATTAGATTTGTGTTCGGTTCGACACTCGTTCATGTAACGATTTGGCTCTTCAGAATGTTGTTCATATAAGAACTAATTGGGTAAACATTTGAACAGACCAAAATGGGCACGAAAATGGTCCAATAAGTGTACTGCAAAATATCTAAATAACATAAATCTTATGAAAGTATTCAAACGTGACATGCCTGTTTTTGAAGAAGTGGAGGGATGTCCACCCTTTAAAATAGACAGATCATAGTGCATGTAAGTCTTTTTCTGCTGTACAGTAATAGGCCAGTACAGCCTGTCATTGAGTTCTTCACACCATAGCTTCTCCATGTTATGAAGCATCTGGCTAGATGAATGCTTCTTGCTCGTGGCTGCAGAGGGCGTACACAGTAAGCGACCATGTTCTTAATATGAAGCACTGTGGAAGTCCTATTGCACTATTGCAGCTGGCAGAAGGTTTGTCTCCATGCTGGATTAAGATATCATAAGGTTGGGGGGTGAGGGTGTG